CTAAAAGGTCACAAGATCCGGCAGTCGCGTGTAACCCAATAGTGTTCGCCCGAGTATTCCAGATCGCTTGGGCGTTGAACTTTGCCGCGGACTTGATGAGTGAGGTTTCCTTTACCAAGTCTATCAAGCAGAAAAGCATCTGTAACGACTCACACACCTCACAGTATTCTGTCTTCCGTTCTTAGTATTGTACCAGTTACGGCTGCGAAAGAGTGTCAAGATCAGTGTTTACTGCACATTCTTTCTAGGAGCCATCAACTTAGCAGTCAGCTTGGCTCGGTTCCTGGGTATCCAGGTGTCGGTGACATCTTTTCGCTCCTTCACACTCATTGGTGAGTCAATATTCCCATTGTAATTCGATTCCATCCAGTATCATGCAAATCCTCTTGGATTTTGGAACTGACGTGAGCCCCGCAGAGTTGTGGAGTGCTCTTGACTTGCAGGTCGGTTTAGTCATTGCTTGTCTACCGACGCTACGGCCATATCTATCCTACAATTGGAGAATATGGCCTTTCCGATCAGCAACACAAACCCCCAAAAGCTCCAGCAACCGTGCAGAGCTTTCCGAGCTTTCTCGACAAAACGATCAGCCAATGTCACAGATTCGAAACATCGACCACGTAGCCTTAATGGACAATGTCAACAACAATGAAGGGCATAGTAGGGATAATTCGAACTGCGATCTCGAATCGTCAGCTTTGGGAAGCCCTAAGTCGCCAGCGACGATGCTTCGCAGTAATCACCAAGCAAAATGAATCATGAGCTATGTTATTTGATTTTTACTCCTAGCAAATATAATGAGATTCACTAGAACGAAGAAGAGACCAATTGAAGCAGTCTAAAGTTGCTTCGGGCCGTTTCAGGAAACTAATATTCCCCTGATTATGTCTGCTACAGAAATCAGACCAGACCTTAAGAGGAGTTCCAATAAGTTGTGTCAACCCAAGAAGTCCAGCCCGGAAGAATCGTGTCAATGGAAACCGCACTCGACAACTTCTTAGCCCAGCTCACGCGCGTGCCGCTAGCACCCGTCCCAGTGTTGCCATACTCAGCGTAGTAAACGTTGGCGGTGGGGTTGGTGCCCCAAGCAGACCACCCAACAGGCTTAACGACGTCGCTGAGTTGCGAGTTCTGGACAACGACGCGTGCGTATTCCCTCCATGGCCTACCCAATACCGTAGACTCCTTGGAGACACCGGCACCTGACTTGGCAGCAATTGTGGCCTTGTTGATCACATACCAGTAGGCGTCAGCGCTATCGCGACCACTGGCAGTGATGTATCCGGCGCCGTTGATGGAAATGGTGCACTTCTCAAACCAAGCGTTGCCGTCGTTGCCGAAGATGAAGTCAGTCGCACCCTCGATGTAGCTGTTCTTATAGACTTGGTGGGGCTTGTTGGTGTAGATCGTGTCCTGGTAGCCGACGAAGCTGCAGCCGTAGTACGCTTGGTACTGGCCATTTGCAGAGATGGCTAGAGCCTGGGATCCTTTCCCGTAGCCATTGATCAGGTTGACGTTGTAAAGGCTGAAGTAGCTCGTTGCAACTCTCAGGGTTGCGGACAAATCATTACTTCCAGCATCGGCAGCCGAGAGGGTGTTGGTCAAGATGACTTGGTTCTTAGTGTAGTCCTGGTCGTTGGTGGTGTATGCGTAGATGACAAGCTTGCCACTGAGACTAGGAATGGAAACTTGGCCGGAGTAAGTGCCCGGTTGGATGAAGATTGTGGTAGTTGCTGTGGAGCTGGCCGAAATTGCGTTGATAGCCGCTTGGAGCTTTTCGGTATCATCAATATCAGCCACAGGACATCAAGTCTGATAGTTGTGTAGTGCGAATGAAACTAGCCTAAGGGCCTCAACCATGCAAGTACTCACTGTGGTATACTGGCCGCCGGACTTGGCAACGACAATTGCACCGGAGGGGGGCGATGTTCGCGAAGCAGCAAAAGCATGGCCCGCCAAAATCGCCAAGGTCGAGAGCACGTTAAAGAGCTTCATATTGTTGCTGAGTCTTTCTATGATCCTAATGGATTCTACTACATATTTTCGATGAAAGACGAAACACTATGGTTCAAGACCTTGGAACTTCTATGTTTTATAGGATCTTGAACAATGTTGCCATGAGCCTGGAGTATCATCATTGCGTATGATGTACTCAAGCAATTTATCAAGATGAAATCCTTGGCTGCATGAAAACCAGCCACCGAGCACCGCCATTCGATCCCGAATTGACCACGCGGTGAAAAGGCCTCTTTAATGTTAGCTCCCGTAATCTGTGTCGCGGAGGTCGGCGTCAAGGAAATAGGTGGACTGAAATTCTCCGCCGACATGCAACCATCACTCTCTTTTTTCCCCGCCGCATGCAGTTTCTCCGAGGCTAGCCCCGGCTGCGTTACAGTATTCCCGTCCATCAATTCCGACGTTGGACCATCCTGATTTATCAAACCTAAATTGAACGTTGCTCGGAGCGGGGTCAGTGGCGCAGACTGGACTAAACTAGAAATCTGGGGCTCGAGTCCTTGAGGTAGACTGGACTGAGCTGACGTCAATTACGACATTATGTGCCATTTGCTCAACTTCCTCCAGTTTCCTATTGTTCACTTCAGCGGCTGCTTTTATGGAAGGCTCAACGAGAAAGAGGGGCAAAGATATGACCGGCTCGGGGGCACAACGACCTTTGTCGATAGAGTACGAGTATTTGAAAAAGACCTCAGTAGCTAAATAAAAAAGATTTCCAAGTCAACCTTTTCAAGTATCAGACTTCCAGTTATAAAAATCCGGTTTTGTGCTCTTACATCTGACATACCTGGGGCACTTGCACATACCTATCCGTTCTAATCATCATCTGGCTCTTGACTGGGGCGTCCTCTAAACTTGGACGGATATTTGAGAGACCCATTTGTCACAGCCTGAACAAACTGATGTAGTGTGGAATATGGTCCATGATAGGAGCTGAAGATTCGTGGTCATAGCCTCGTCAAATTAAGTCGCAGATGCATAAGCACACGTAAGTAAAGAATGCAGGTGTCGCAAGTTCTACAGAAAGCCGATATTTCAACGAAGTACTCGCGCTCTCTCATGCCACTATTCCGAAACATATCCCTACAGACAAGAGAGAGGCCTCGCAGCACACCGCTTTCTCCTCAAGTCTTTGAGCGTATTAAAAGAACATTGTGCCATGTGACTGGTATATTGGGCCCTGAAACACTGCTCATGACAATTGGAATCATTTGGTTGCCGCTCATGACGCCCTCTACAATCCTCACGCTGGGAAATATGACCTGCCCAGTACTTATACCCGTGCGCTTCTCAAATCAAGAGCAGACAGAAGCTCGTGGACCAGCATTAGCCTTGACGTAGGCAGGGACATCTGCTGTAAGAGTCAAAGTGTAGGAATAGAGGCTCTTGGGGTCAAAAGAGGTTCCCGAGTTTGCAGCCGTAGTACCCGTGCAGCTCTTATAGGTGTTCCCAGAGGCGTTGAGCACAGCTCCTGAGTCCTTGGTCAAAGGGTTCTTGGTGTTCTCAAAGAACACATTCTCGATGCGTGCGTTGGTGCTACCGCGGGCATAATGGCCATATGAAGTGACGCCGTAAAGATAATTGTTGTAGAGATGCGCTTGTAGCAAGTTGTCGGCGCTCGGGTTTCTTTGATTCGTTTTATCGAACCAGTTGTGGTTGATCGTTCCACGAGCCGTGACATTCTCGGTCCAGCCGATACCAAAGGTCTTGTCGTGGTTCCGAAAGATGTTGTTGGAGACGGTGAAGTACGTGGTGTCCTTTCGAAGATCCACCAGGCCGTCCCCGCCATCTTCGAAAAGGCAGTGGTCGATCCAGATGTTGCTCACGGTATCGGCTTGAACGCCATCACGGTCATTCTCCACGCCATCATTCAAGTTGGTGTGGCCAATCTTGAGGTTGCGAATGATGATGTTCTTGGCTCCGCTCAAGCCCAGACCGCCTTTAGACGCCAAGTAAGGTAAGCATGATGATATACGAAACGATGAGTCTGAGGATTCACCTTGGTACAGCTCGCCAGTGGTGCCAAGCCCGATGATAGTCTTATCACTGGCTATCTTGATTTCCTTGCCGAGAGGGCTGATGGTGATGCGACCACTAACTTTAATCACGTATTTGCCCGATGCGCTGGCGTACTTCTCAAGATCAGCTTGAGTCGTCACTGTTACATCCGTCCCCCCTGCGCCGCCAGTTGTTCCTCCGTTCAGGGAAGCAAATCCAGTGGCAGAAGCGAGGCATCCGCTAGACTGTCTCTCAGTGACCGCGGCTCCAGCGGCGACGATGCCTTGGACAAAAACGATGATAGACGAGGCCTTCATAGTCAGTTGTTCCGAAAAAGAGAAAATTAGGGTATTGCTCTTCAACGTATCAATGATTTGTTGCGAGAAAACTTGTGAGACTATTTGATGCAAACTTCGAGTTATATCGAATTATTTAACGTCGAATCACAAACTCATATAGTGCTGGCACGGGGAGTAGCATTTCCTTAAGCACATCATTATTAGTATTAGGTAAGAGCATTTAGCCCACCCGTCTTTGACACTACACTGCCTAGACCAATTCAAATTGGGATCTACGGAGACTTCCCTTTTAGCCTAAGCTTTAGTCTTGGACGTCAAACCATATCGGAGGCCGCAACGATCCAGACAGGGCACGAGAAAATCCGTGGTTCATGGAAATAAGCTCCTCAGTAAGGCCATTTCGAAAATCAGTCGTGATCGTCATAAAGAAGCGATGGGAAGTCAAAGAGTTGCCCAGGACTTTCAATTCGAGAAGGGTCCAATGTCACATTGTGCCAAGTAATTCAATATTGATGATTAAACCCACCAGTAGTGTGAAGCTGGTTCCCCGCATCACGAGGTGTCATCGCGCATACGAAGTCCCGCCAATAAGTGCTTCCCTTTTAGAGGCCCTGATCCATTTTGGGGATGCTCATCGCCACACCTAAGTCAAGGTTATAACTGAACTGATGTGGATTCCCTTTACATGGCTCTCGAAGAAGTCAACCGGGGCAATCATGAATCTGGTCTGTTCGTTCATTGGCTTAATGATATGTGCTAGATAGGCTGGTTCTCAAGAGCCACTTTCTAATCCGCATACAACTTGCTCTTTTGACGTTTGAGGTAAGGGATGGTAAATTCGATTCTTGATGTTGAGGTTGGTTATTCGTAGACCGCGATCTCGGCACTCTGTATTCTCATTCGTTCTCTATGATCTATCTGGTATCTTGGTTTCAAATGACAACTTCTAAGTTAGCAATTGGCCGTTATGGTGCGTGCTGCTCTTTTGGTCATAAATTCGTTCGAAGAGTCCCGGCTCAAGACTTCTCTGGAGTCTCTATTTTGCGCGCAAATCTTATTCCCGAAACACATGCGAAGCCAGCCAACGCCATTGCCCCGGCATAGTAAGCGGCGGGGCGGAACCTTTCAAGCCCATCAACATCGCCTGAGATGGAGTAAAGGCCAGAAGCAATTGGTGTACCCTGAGTCTTGTAAGTAAGGGTGCGAAGAGTGTAGTGCGTTGTAAGACTTACGAAGAAGAAACCGCAGAACCACGTCGTCCAGACAACAGGGATGATGCTGAGTGTATTCTCTCCACCAAATGTGGCACTGACGGCGATGGGTGTGAGGCTGAAAAATGCGCCGCATCCGATGCCGTTGAAGATGAGATAGAGGGAGAAGATGCCAATTAATGATGACAGGGGCCACACGATGAGAGAGCTGAGGGCCATGAAGAGCATGCAGATTGCTAGACTCTCGACTGGTCCCAGAAGGGTATCGGCAACCCACCCGGCGAGGACTCGGCCTAACGTCGAAGCCAAGTTCCAGCAGGCTAGGATGATAATACCGATCTCTTTGGTGTAGCCCATCGATCTCGAAAAGATCGGAATGAAGTAAGGAGGAATGAAGAGTGGGAAGCAGGAAAGTATCGTGCCGCCAACGAGCAGGAGGAAGCGAGGTTCCTTGAAGCGGTACCTGTGACTTGTTAGTCGTGATTCTGGTTTGACTACAGATGAGTACATGTACTTACCATTGTAGTTGACGAGAGGCCTTCTTCCCCGAACTTAATCGTCTTGGCAGGAAATAGGACGCAGGGATGGAGACACCCCAGAGAATGAAACCAAGAATGCGGAATGTCCAGGAAACACCCAAGTCCTTGACAAGATAGTTGGTCACGACACTCATGATGGCAGAACCCAAGCTGCCACCTCCGAAAACAAACCCCATGGCCAGTGCTTTATGTTTCTTGAATAGACCCATCGGAGCAGTCGAGACAGACTAGTAGTAAAGGGTGTTAGCTGAGATGCGTTTCGCCAGTAGGAGACATCTAGACCTAATGCAAGGCATGTTCCACTCACAAAGATACACAATCCACCACCTAGACCAAATACAAGACCATGTAGAAAGAACAAGGCTACAACATGGTGAGTTGTAAAGCCTGCAAGAACTTCGCCCAAACCCATGAAGACGCCTCCAATCAATGCAGCCAGCCGGTATCCTATCCTGCTTATGATTTTGTCGGAGACAATACTGAAACAGATCATGAACGAGGTCGCCAATGAGCCGACAAATGTCAAAGTGGTCAGATTTGAACCCGTGGTCTCGACCAGCTTGACTTGCATGATGCCCCAGGAGTAGATGACACCGAGATAGACGAACATGGTCAGTGACGATGCAGCGACCGTAATCCAAGCCGTTCTATCATCGTAAGTCTGCCCCTCTACTTTCGGGGCTGTCTCCGCGGCATGGTCCTCGCTCGAGTGGTCGGTATCGTGCCCATCTTGGCTTGGGAGGCCTTGTCGTTCGGGGTAGGTGCCTTTTTCAGTATCCATCTTGGCAGTAGTCGAATGAAGTCGGCAGAAGCTGTTAGGAGCATACTTTCCTCGAACTTCTTCCCGGAGCGGCTTCGAGCTTATCATATTATCGACAAAGAGTGGGAAAATCGAATGTTGTAAGTCGGCTTTCGGATATCGGCTTTGCGTCAGAACCGATGTCAGATTTTCTCACGATAATGCGGTTATCGTCTGCAGGATTTATGGAGATGTCGAGAGTGGAGTTTCTTTTGCAATTCCTCCGATGATTTTGACGCAGGCCCACCGTTGGAAGGGCCGGTTGGGCTCCGTGAACACGGAGCTGATGGCTTGTTGATCCCGATACCTATCGGATTTCAACACTAGCGCCGAATAATGAAGGTATATTTAGTAGAGTTGAAGTGCCCATTGTCTCTTCTCTCGCGCATCTTTTCGGTAAACAAACGCAACTTGTAGAACATTCACATACATCCCACTTCAATTTGTCTCGAGTCTACAGTCTCTCGCCATGGCTCCCGCAAGAGACGACGAGCTGTTCACAACAGCCAATGCCGAACTTCCCATAACCAACACCAAATCCAAGGTTGGAGAGGGTCGTCTCATGCACCGCTCTTTAGTCCAACACCCCTCCATGGTCGAATCAGCAAGCGGTATCTACCTGAACCTCGCCAACGGCAAGCGGGTCATCGATGCATGCGGCGGCGCTGCTGTAGCTCTGATTGGCCATGCCAACGAAGAGGTCATTCAAGCCATCTCGGACCAAGCCCGGAAGGTGAGCTACGTTCACACCCAAGCCTACACCACGCAGCCGGCCGAGGAGCTTGCCGACCTCATCCTCGATGGCAACCCACATGGCCTCGAGAAGGCCTTCTTCGTATGCAGCGGAAGCGAAGCCGTTGAGTCGGCCCTGAAGCTGGCGCGTCAGTATCACTTTGAGAACGGCCAGCCGCAGAGAAAGCACTTCATCGGAAGGAAACAAGCGTACCACGGCAACACCATGGCGACCATGTCGATTTCGACAGTCGCGTCACGAAAGGTCCCCTACGAGGGCTTCTGTTATCCTCACGTCTCATATGTATCACCGGCATATCCGTATCAGTATCAGAGAGCAGATGAGACCGAAGATGAATTCACAGCCAGACTTCTCGCTGAGATTGAGGCTGAATTCCAACATGTCGGCCCTCAAAATGTCATTGCCTTTGTTGCTGAGACAATGGTAGGCGCTACAGCCGGCTGCGTGGCACCTCCTGTTGGCTACATCGCTGGCGTTCGTCAGATTTGCGACAAGCATGGCTCTCTCCTCATCCTCGACGAAGTCATGTGTGGCACCGGACGCACTGGTACCTACTTCGCTTTTGAGCAAGAGGGCATTGTTCCCGATATCGTCACAGTCGCCAAGGGGCTCGGCGGAGGCTACGGCCCCATTGCCGGCGTCCTCATGCACGAAAAGGTCGTGTCTATGCTGAGGCAGGGGTCCAACGCCTTCAACCACGGGCACACCTACCAAGCCCATCCTATTGCCTGCGCAGCTGCGCTGGCTGTGCAGAAGATTGTCAAGCGGGATGACCTCGTCGCTCGCTGCGCACGGCTGGGGAAGCAGCTCGAAGCACTACTGCGTATCGAGCTCATCAACTGCAAATCAGTCGGCGAGGTTAGAGGAAGGGGCTTGTTCTGGGCTGTCGAATTCGTCAAGAATACGGAGACAAAGGAGACCTTTGAACCTAAGCTGCGGTTCGGACTTCGAGTTCAAGAGCGGGCATTTGAGAAGGGCGTAGCTCTCTACCCTGGCGCTGGCACAGTGGATGGCTCAAGAGGAGATCACGTCCTTCTTGCTCCTCCATTCACCACAACAGAAGAGGAGTTGCGTAAGGTTTGCAGCGTGTTCAGGGAAGCACTGGAGGAGATTGAAGCGGAAATCCTATAAAAAGCGGTCATGGTCAGGGGCATATTATTGTGACTGATGCTTGTATTTGCTAGGACAGTTCTACTTCGCACTTTCGTACAAGCTCAATTCAATCATACCCATTTTTCAGTGATAAAGCAACCAAAACCATGTGACTAGGCCATCGTGAAGATCTCTGAAGCATCGACATCTTCCAGCATGGACCACCAATTTGGCCAAAGCCCTTGATCATCCATGCTGCCGGCAGCATCTATCAAGCCTTGTGGATTTATTCCGCCAATGTTCTGATTCGGCTTATCGCCTGAGACGATATTGCCCTCACCCGTGCTGACGGCGCTCCGCTCGGCGTTGTTGATTTCCTCTAAATGTTGGGCAGATCTGTCAACTACACGAAACTCGTGGACAGATTGATGCAAGACACTGAAGTCGAAGCGAGATCGTCCGCGATATCTTTGGGTATCAGACGTTGCTCTTTGGTACATCAATGACCCATTCTGGATGGTCTTGAGCTGTGATGCGTTAGCCGTACGTCAAGTAAAGATGGTCTACTAGCATTTCTTCTCCCTTGGAATGAGTGACTCACCCATCCGTCGCCGAGGTCCCAGACCTCACGGAACCTATTAAGATATTCTATACTCGAGTTCATGAGCTCTTCCGCTTTGGTAGCATACCCAGCAGTGATTCTCGGGAACATGAAGCCATAGAGATTGATATAGCAAGACGAGAAAGCGCAGAATCCGGCGAATGGCGTCATGACTGCAACACCGCATTCTGACGCTTCCCGAAGAACGCTTGACAAGTGAGCTGCTGCTTCGAAAAGTTCCTTCGCGCTTTGATCCCACCAGCCCGGAGGAGCCTCGGCCTCGAGTGTTGGGGGGTCTATGGGTCCGCGAGCAGTCATGTCAATTGTCGGCAGGAAGGGAAAGTACTCTCGCTGGAGCATGATAACGCTACCATAATCTCGGATTAGCCCTAATTAGTTCAGGCGCTCTAGGGAACAGCTTGGCCAACCTCTGGTAGTAGAGTAGGTTTAGGTAGACGAAAGATTCACCATAGCCTAGGGTGGCGTATGCAGCAACACTGTTGACCGGGTAGTGTAGCCGATGATGCTGTTTCGTTCTCCATTCCTCAAGTCTCCGACGCCAACATGCCACAGGTGATGTAGGAACCCAGGGGCAATTCTCAGGCAAGCACATACCTGGCGCTTTACGTCCGTCGTTGAACACGAAGGCCATGATATCAGAGTAGATGTCGAACCCGTCGGCCATGACCCCAAAGCTCTGGTCCAAATCAAGATACACCGAAGTTGCGGTTCCACTTGATGTGAAGTTTTCCCCCGCACCTTCAGCTTGCGCTGACGACCCTGGCCCTAGAGCAAACTCAGTCGAAGTAGGTGGCCGGGGCACATTTAGCTTTGCCATCTCCTGTTTGGGAAGCACTCGTGGGTTATATGTTCCCGAGCTCACCATACAATCCATGATGAAACATGCCCAGAATGTTCTGGTCTCGATGGCGGGAGTGAGGCTATTCGGTTCGCTGCGGTGAGGGATCTCGAGTGGGAAGGGTGCCACCCGCGAACTGTGAAGCAATTGCATCATGCGAATTGCAATTCCTACTTGATGTCAGACACAGTCGAGGTCAAACTTAGGAAGCTAACTTACCACAATGCATCCAGGCCTTGTGAAAGTCTCGTGTACCCCATTCATACAACGTTAGAATGAGCAGGGCTTGAATGACCTTGACATCTGGTGGTTGTAGTATACATGCTGCCAGGACATCACACGCATAGGACGCATACCTTTCGCTCGGAAAGAGGATCTGCGATCGCAGGCGATCCGAATCCGGCTTCTGTGTCTTGGTCATCGCAAGAACTGTTGCCAACAATGCCTTGCTTTCTCTCGGGCAATTGGAACCAAATGATTTCATAAAAGACGATGGGTGAATAACTCGGAGCTCGGGAAACTTGCGCCAGAAGGCCTCCAGAGCGATGTAGACAACATCTTTTGGGACCTGCTCGAGATGATGGTCCAGTTCCTGCTTACCATCTCGATACTCCAAGCCCGACGAGGGCGTTGCCGGGCCCCTTGAATGGGGCGCAGAGAGAAGCTGTCGCTGAGACTCGACATCCTGATCATGCGACACAGACGAAGTCTCTTCCGTGACCCTTCGAGCCCGCTTCGCTGCCCGTCCATTCGGCGCGACGTGGGGTCTGGTCAGTACGCAATCCGATCTTCCCGACTTCTCGCATTTGGTGCACGGCGGACTTCCGGTGTTGACGCACTTGATCTTGGACCGTCTGCGGGGTCAAAAAAACGGGGTCAGCGGCCGTTACATCGGATCCGATTGAAAGCCGGGGCGAGGCCGGAGACCGATGGGGGACATACCGGCAGAATTCGCAGGAGAGACTGGAGCGCATGTTTTCCGATGTTACGTTTGCTCTGTCGGTTCTGTACGAAAACCGAAAGAAACGGGAAAAGATTCGGATTACGGGTACAAGTTTTGGGACCGCCGGGACCGGCTTTGTCATTGTGGAGCTGGAACCGGTGGATCCCAGCATTGTTGAAAGCTTGCTTCTAGTGTCCGATTCTCTCCGATGAGATGACAGCTTTGCGCGATAGCAACTCAAAGACGCCGATAACAACTGATACGAGACCAAGTTTCGAGGTCGCTGATACTCATCACCATCACTTAGTGTTTTCAACAGGACCACAAGCGGGACTGAAATGTCAAGATCAGCCATTTTGCGACTGAGTAGATTCCGTGAGGGTTCCATGAAATGAACATGGATGATCCTTGTTCCAAAGCAACCTCTCACAGTAAGGTGACTGTTGAATTAGATCTCTAACTACGTCTCCTCATCTTGAACGGGGTATCTCAGTTCTTGATACTGCCCAAAGGTCTTGGAGTTTGCCTTCTAAGCTAGGCTTGCGTGGCCGTACCTGGCAGACAAGAACAAGCAGAGCTGACTCTCGAAATGATATTTGTTGCACAAGCCTCCGCAGCATAGTCCGGAACCACATTCACGTCCGCAATAACCGTCTTGGTAAAGGCGCCGCAGAACTTCTGACTCTCTTCCAACTGTCCGGGGGTGCTCGTACCCCGCAGAGCACGTAGGCAATTATCAGCATTACAAGTCTTTGGTTTGCAGGCCTCGCGTTTCGTCATTTTGACAAGGAAGCCTCCCTTTTCGATGGTGTTGGCGAAGATGAACCCGGATTTGAAGTACGCATATGAGGCTTAGCTACCTCAGAAGGTTATCTCGCCTCCACCAGGCGCCGAATCGTCTTCGGGGTAGCTGTCAAAGTAGGCTGTCTCAGAGACACCGGCGCCGGTGGGGTCGGAGGATTTCGAAGAAACGTTGTAAACGCGGAGTCCGGCGGCGTAGTTGGATTGGTAGGACAGTCCATCAATAACGTACTGGTTGTGGTCGATGCCGACGTTGGTTGCCTTGCAGAGACCAGTCTGCTCGGGCGACTTCAAAGATCTTATATCCCAAATGTACGTCACGGGATATCCGTCTGCAGCTGGTCCGACAACCTCTTCTTTGTCGTATTCGTCGTCTGTCAGTAACTATTCGTGGTTGCTCTTGTCGGGAACCCAGCCTTGGTGAGTCTAGGTAGCACCTTCGTAACTAGTCCTGGGAATGATCTTTGATGAACTCTTATCCGACACGTCGTAGATACTTTATGTTAGCTACCGTCGCCGGTAGTCTTGATGACTAACATGGTCAAAGTGTCCTCGTCAAAGCCATAGCAAGTGTCGCGGCCTTCATATTTCTTGTCTGGGCCGCGGTAGATGAGACATTGTGCCTGCTGTCTGTCAGCGCCGACTCAGAGGCAAATTTAGATACAGGAAGGGAGGAGGGTCCAAAATCTTCAAGAGGGGTCACTAACATCATGAACATAGCGGTCTTGGGGGTCACACCCAAGTTTTACTGGGTTGGACGGGTCCTTCAGATCAAAGAAAATGAGGCCGCCAAAACAACCATCATCGCGCGGAGCCGCGCCAACAGCAACGCCGTAGCTTACTTCCTCCTTAATCAAGACATTATACGTACGGCCGAGGGACAACTCGGCAAAGTGGCCTGTCCGATCATTTTATTTGTCATAAACGACCGGGGCATCGGCCTCGTCAATATCAAGAAGCTACACCTAAGTTAGCCTCAAACAAAATAACGCAAAGCAATCTTGTAGTTACGAATTTTGTGTCACCATGAGTTGGGCCCTGTCGGTGTATATGATGGATTCGTGTTCGTTGGCCATGCCACAAGTACGTGATAGGTCCATCGGAAGCTCACAGAAATCCAAGGTGCAGTAGACGTCCTCCAGGTAAGGGTTCAATAAACGATGCTCTGTCGTATAATCCGGAGGCTTCTAGGGTCAGCAAATGATACCACACATGATAAAGGACCTAAATGTACCAATGAACTCTCTACTGGAACTAGGATCGGTCCATCCCCAAACAGTGCTACCAGTTCTTCCTGATGTAGTTGAGTGTGGAGAGCCAAGCGTAGCGTGGTTGATGAAGTCGTACAACTCAATCTCCCACAGCATTAGCAAGCTTTTTCTCATATGGCAGAATATCACCTACATTCTTGCATCTAAATATGTGCAACGAGTCGTCGGGAATGGCCTCAGCAAACCCATCAACACACTTCGTGTAGTTCAAGCGGGGCCATGAGGAAGAATTCATGAGACCGGCCTCAGGCTCTGCCTTCCATCGCGTTCAAGTTGCATCAGTAAGTATTTTCTCATACGTCATAGGCTACTTCTCCGGTTGCGTTGAAATACTAACGATCTTGGCCGACTTCAATTTCTCGTGCATGATGTTAGAGTCGTAGAGCGCTACGACACATCAGCATCAAACATGCGTACTTAAAGTACGGGACGTAAGTATAAGACCGACCTGCCGCAACTTCTTCATTTTTGGGGAGCTCTCTGGCGAGGGCAGTGGTCGCGTAGTCCACTGCACCGGATAGGATAGACAAGCGCATTGTGGAAAGACTTCCTAGACTGGATAGTGCTATGAACGGAATCGAGTCTGCGATACACTGCTGGCCATGCTTTGAGCGCATCATTCAAACTATGCTCGAGAGTAGTCCGACATATTTATCATCCACTACGAGGCTGCACATTAATGGCATTCACGAATCCCGCTCGTCCCGGCTTGGTGTGTCAACGGGACCTTTGTGCTGCGGTGTAAACAAAGTGCATCCCAATTCGCAATCAATCAAGTCAGATTCAGTCCGGGCAACTGCATCGGATGATCCCGCGACACATTAAGTTGGATGCCTAATAGTTTTGGATTAACATCGCTTGTAAATCAACCTCCTTTTAGCAAAAGGTGAACTGCCACCCTTGTGCGGAATAAATAAGCAATGAGGCGCCCGCTGCCAAGAAAACCAGATGCAGAGGTTGAATGACGTAACTAGAGAACATCGGGAAGGCGTAGAGTCCTAAGGGGTGCTTGCCAAGAGGCTATACATGTCATGTAACCTCAACACAGACTGCCTGTCTCTCTGTTGCTTATCAGTTGCAGACAAACAGTGGTCTGTTCCACCTATAGCACTTGATACCAAAGATCTTTTTGGACAATGTGCACCCAAGCTTCCCTTTCAGATGCAAGCATATAGTCATTGTCTGCCCGTCTGACTTATTTGAATCGTTGAAGACAAAACAGGAATTGAGCGGCTGGAGCATGTATATAGGTGTATGGATTTTTATTTCGACCTATGCCTTTGCTCTATCTTCAACCTAAGAGACATTGGCATTGTTCTATATGCCTCAGGGACATGAGCATGTGGTGAAGTCGAGTAGCTGGTTGCTGAAGCGAAAGCGATACAAGGTCAGTGCCCATACGTTCTGGGACGTCTGGATCTTTAAGTCTGCAACGAACGAGTGGCGGATTATATCATGCCTGCACTTGACTAAGTATTTACAGGGAAGCTACAGACTAGACGGATCAATAGATGAGTGACAAGGCTCTAATTGCTAAGCTCCTCCAGTCCAGAAGTCTATCATTCTTGAGCCGCCATGTCACAGTTTAAATCGAGCCACTTCGGATAGACAACTAAGCTGCAATAATCACAAAATTAACAAGCGGTAGTGAAGCTGGTGGCGACACAGTAAGTGCCGTCAGGGCCACTGCCGATCTTAGTAGGCTCAGCGCCGCTGTTATTTCCCGTGTACTACATTCAATAGTCAGCATTTACTGTTGAAGAGAAGTCGGCGTTGAAGTCAGCATACCCTATCACAAATCTTGTTGTCATCTTGGCATGAGCTGGTGACCTTGCAGGTGTCGCCGTAGTTGGTGTTGATGCCGCAGAGGACTCCGCCATCCTTTGCAATCACATTGTTCATGATAATGTTGCGTGCACCCCCATTGCCGCTGCAGTTACCACAGCTTCGGACGACCTTTCCGTAGCTAATCAAGCTTCAGCAACTTATATCAAATACAAGAGGTAACGAATTGCAACTCACTCGTTGGCATAAAAGTTCTTGACCGAGACAGTTCCAAATCCGTTGAATTGGATAATCTTGTCCGCAGCCTTGAAGGCACCACCACCGTTGACGTAAGAGGTTCCGCTGGTCTGCTTGAGGGTGCTGGGTGGAAGAAATTAGTAATGAATGGTCTTATACTCGGGGCCTTGAAACTCACAGAGCATCCTCGCAAACATCAGACCACCAGACATTGTTACTAGTCATCGTCAGTTAACTGTTCCCCGAGTGCTTGCTGCTAGAAGGTTTCGTACAGTGTGCTGCAGTCAATTAGCATCAACTACTTAGTATGGTTGCGGTAGACCACTCACCAGGTTCCCTTGCAGTGAACACCCTCTGCCTGATCAGGCCCAATGATGACGTTCGAGAGAGTGGCACCAGCCTCAAGAACAAACATGGCATCAGCCTCACCGGTTTCGTCCTGCTCAGCGCAAACCTTGGCTACTACGGTGTTAGTACTTGGTGAAGCACCCATATTTCATCCAATTTCTTCGAAAAACGTACGGCTGCGATCAAATTTCTTCATGCCGCCATCGTACGACTGTCCAGCGGAGACAGTGATAGCCTTGCTGGTAGAAGTAGCCCCGGAGGACTGGGGCAGAGTGGTAGTAACGCCGGTGGGCGTAGAGCCTCCTGCAGCAGTAGTGGTCTTCAATGTGGTGGTCGGAGAGCTACCACCAGCACCGCTGTAAGCGCAAGTACACTCAGCGGAGATGAGACTCGGCTTCTGTGAGCAGTTGGTAGCCCAAGCGGGGAGAGCGGTGGTGGCAGTCACGGTGCTCTTGGTGAAGGTCGCGCAGAAGGTCGAAGCGGCGGCGTTAGACTTGATGTAGCTGGCACACGCGTTCGTGTCGCTATTCAGGCAGCCCAGAGCCGCGGGAATGAGAGCAAGGAGGTAGTATTGGTGCATCTTGGCGTTGTCCGGGAGCAGGGTGCTGGGAAAGTCTTGGCTCTGAAGATCAGGGGTGGAGCTTGATGATGTGATCTTGGTTCACTTGGGGATATAACGCTGTACTTATAGCCATCAGGAACTTGATTCTTGAATAGTTGGATGCTCAGTTTCTCTCGTTTTGCTTCCTAACGTTAAAGATGATACTATCTAACTTAGGTCTCCTGCTATCTTCAGCCTCACATCCGATGAATGAAGGAAAAGGTTTTCCCGCGCAGATTTCCACCAGTAATGAGTGATCAATGGTTATCCAGATGAATCAGTATCAACTTGGTCTACAACCTTCATCTTGCCTACCCTTTTCCGAGCACCCTTAAATCGTATAAGCTTAGCTTGACGCAGGGGGTTGTCACCGGGACGCATCCGAGTCTACCCCACAAACCCGAAGATACCGCACTCAATTGAGATCCTACGTAGAATATTGCTTGTGCCCTTCGATTAGTGTGTGTAGTTTCCACGTGGGCGTCATTAAAGAAGAGTTCCCCATTTGTGGAAAAAGGCGTTACAATCAAAGGCAACCCCGAAATTTGGCTCACCTTCTGCATGCATGCGTGGCAGAGACAGCATACACATAGCTATACACATGGCTTATCCGCGTAGCATTATTTGGTCCTTAAACGGTTAAAAATAAGATCGATCGACTTCTTGTAGCGGATTGAGTCTAACGCGAAACTAAAAGGTAATTAACACATGAGAATAGGCACTCAGAGCTGCGATGGGCAGTCTATGCACTTAACTCCCTACATGTAGCGGTCAGACATTGTCGCGATTATCCTGTGTGTTCCCAATCCCAAAGAGGTAACTTTGATTATGGCCGCTTTTGTGCTGCGGGATGTGTGGTGATTTGATCATCTGGTGGATGGAATTTGTTTGTTGATGGCACATAAGCATAACAAAAGCCACCAATGATGACGGCAGACTCAACAAGGGTCCAAGCCATGTTAATAAAAGGCCCGCCACTACAAGCACTTTAGACGCGGGGTGCAGCCTTCCGAAGCAGGTAAGACAGATAGCAGGGTTACACTTGATGACGCACCGGTGTCTATTACGCTGTCCGGATCGTCCGTGGTCTGTTTTTGCGGCCTGCTTATGTAGGTACCTATGTGAAGTCAACAGGTATTGGGTCATGTTGTGGCAAGGTATTTAATTTGCTAACTTGCCGTCTCAAACTCCGTTTCTTGATAAAATCGAGGAACCCCGGTGGTTCGAGTGATTCTCCTAGGCACTCATTTTCTGCAGCTCGTATCATGCAAATGTTACATAAATCGCTTCATCAGTTTCGCCTCGCCATCGTATCAATCGCGAGTTGTAGATGTGTGTCAGTTCCTGGCCGAGATGCTTCCGCCCCGTACAGTTGTCCATTCTTTGCACTTAAAGCACACTGATCTTTCATGCTTGCTGCAGACCGTAAGCATCAACTCCTTGCCTAAAGACATTTGCGACTAAGAATGGTTGGTATCATCGTCTACTATTCCTATCTAGGTGCTTGATACTACATGTATTATGCTCAACTCAGCTCTTGATATATCCAAGTTGCTTTATCGCCTAAGCTAGTGCCTTAGACTTTATAGGGTCTCATCTCATTCTCCATCTCAGTTGATAAACGTCATGCAATGGCGGCGATTAAGAGTCGATGAGATAGAAAGGCAGTCCTGCTTCTATCATCCACACGCCCCTGCTTATATGTATCAGGAGGTACTTTCGGTAAGGTATCTTATCTCAAGCACCTTGAAACCTTCTGTCCATAGAGTCTGGTCATGACAGTCCAAAACGGCGTGGAGACGGGAGGGACAGAAATGCAAATCCGCGGGTAATGCCCGCTGTCCTTTCTCATATCAACTGGAGGTTTCGAAGTCATTATTTCTTAGGCTATTTGTGTGTGAACGCATTTCTGTACATAAATGTGTAGTCATAAGTACTCGCAAAGCAGTGAGATACTCAAGCTAATAATTAACCTCGTATCAAAGATCCAGTTGGAATGGCTGCTTGGAAAGACCGACTATGCTCTGGCTGGCGCTCTTGAGGGACGAAACGCCAAAATCCATTTCCTCGTGCATCAAATGCAATTGACCAATTGCCAAAAGTCTCAAACCTAGTTACTCAGTCGCTTCCGGATGAGACTCAATTCTCATTCTCAACCAAGGTATCTTCATCGAAAGTATGTAACAACCAGTGAGTAATGAGAATGGTAATTTTTGTTGTCATAACATCTTCATCCGTTACCGCCTCATCGTGACGGAAGTATTGCTTCTCTGAAGCGCATATCACTCAAACGCCTTATCCGAATGACTTTAAATCTCACAACTCAGACCCCGAGGATACTATCCTCACTGCCCGACATACGTGATGTCGTTTGTAGCACCGTCTTGGAGTTTACCTGGCCGCCCACTCGATCCAAGTTGTAGGGGTTTTCTGTTCTATCTCTTGATCTCGAATTATTCGAGTGAAATCCTGATCTCTCCTGGCTATGATACTGATATGCTCCTGGCTTGTTTCTGTTTGCCGCTTCTCGTAAAGCGCGAGGAGTAAACAGTGGTTTCAGCGCAGGAACACTGGCGCATATTATTCCAACATTGATCTCTAGCATGGACCAGATGTTAATAAGGATGCTCTCTTGGAAGAGGTCCTTGGCGAGGGTATAGGTGTAAATCGTGTGTAATCGAACGATGGATGTTATTGTTGCGAACACGCCGACGCCGAAAATAATGCCGAGGGCAATCTTTTCTCGCCGCGGCCGGAGGATGCCCATAAGGGTTTTGATAGGAAGGACGAGAATCCAGATGTCAGTCACAATGTTGAAACCGGAAGTGACTGGCTCGGGTTAGCTCGGGGCCCGAAATGCATAGATGATCAGTGAATCATAATTAATGGCTGATAACTCACAGTAGAAAAAGGCAGTGGTGTTGATACACACTCCATCAACAGTCCCGGTCAGGTCCCACATCTCATAGAGTGGTTGACACTGAGATAGAGTGACGCCAATACAGATGACGAAGAATAATAGATGAAACACAATGGTGCATATGCAGAGAATGTTGAGCGACCTGGTGCCAGCTACCATTAGAGTCAGCACAAGATACATTCATTATTATGATGTAGAAAGACATACCAAACCTGAGGTACATGCACAAGATAGAGATCTTAATCGCTGATATGCAAACATAGTACGTGACTTGAATTGCTAGGGTGTTCTTGAGGAGATTTGTCATGTTGTCGAGGCTCAAATCCTTAGAGGGGAAACCAATATGGTTTGCTTTTCCGACAAAGATTTCTGCGAGATAGGCAAGGGTAAAGACCATTCCAATGATCATGGAGTAATCATCGAAGCCAGGCTTTCGAATAAGAACTGCCCGAACGAATGTTCGAGCAATTACAACCATGGCTGCACCAGTTCTGTCAGCTGTCAAGTTATCCGAGGTTCCAACTGAGCGGCTTACTGGAGATTGCGGTGAAGAAACATGATGTGATAATAAGGCTGTTCTGCCTCACTTGGTCGGAAGCCATACTGATATGCTCCAGCGGGACATCCCCCTACAAGATCCTTGTTTTCATCGAAGGTCGATGCCTCTCTTGGCAGATATATCAAGTGTCGTCTTCCCTCGTTATATGTGGATCCTTGGTGGTGCTCCAGCACTGGCACAAACTGGGGGGATGGGCAGTCAATATCTCTTTCACACAATAGGGCTGAATGTTAAGAGCGAAGCCGGGTGGGATAGAGTGGAAGTAAGAGGGCGAACTCTCTTTTCAAACCCCATCGAGAAGCATGAAGACCAGATGAGATGAGAAGTGGGACCTTCAAAGGGGCCCCAGGCGGCATGCGACGCTGGAGGGATGGACAGGGCCATGATGCACGAGCACAGACAACAAGCCGCGCTGCCGCATCCAGGGTGGGAAACGAGGATTAGATCGCTGGATGAATGACGGTATCTCAATCTCCTCACAATTTACGCGAGCTTCGACCGGTCTCCCTCGCGTGCGTATTACGTGGAGACCACGTCCTTGTCAGGCTTGTCAGTGTGCGTGCGATTCGATCGCGCCTTGATGCTGCACGCTCCAGCCGTAATGAACGGACTGCGAGAGGCTGCAGGTCTAGCGTGCATGTAGAGCTTTTGCGAGCTTGCAGAAGAGGAGGAGGAGGCCCGTTGCTGCAGCCTTTCCGCAATGGGAGATTCTGCACCGAGGCTAGCGTCTGGGGGACCTGCAGCAATTCACGGAGGTTTAACTAAGGCCGGGCATGGTCTGACAGGAAACGGCCCAATGGCGCTGGGGGAATGAGCTAGGTTGTACGGTAACGCTGTTGGTTTGCAGTTCCGCACAGGTGGTGGCTGACTTTTGATCCCCTTCTTCGCTTGTTCCATTTCGTGTTCCAGACGGACGCCGAGGCAGTGCGGCTTGCTGGAGCGGGAAAAGGGAGGGGGACCAGGCAACGGTCAACTTCACCGCGGCACGGCAGAGCGGCTTTAGATGGTGCGATGACGGTTCATCTCGCCTCTGGCTGCGACCCGAGGCACGGGTTGTTTGATATGGTGGCCAGTGGTCGAACTTTCTCGGCTTTGGCAAACCGTAAAAGCTAGTGCCCATTGACGGTAAACGAACTTTCTGACGGCCTGATGATGCCCAAAAGAGATAGGCTCGAGAGAATTGAGGCGGTTTTGGATAACAGGCGAGAGGACGGCAGATGAACATTCAAGCCACCATCACTCCCACTTGCATCTTCAAACACCACCCTTGCGGCTATCCAAATCCATGGGTTTCTTCCACTGCGGCTGGAGTGAAGGGTGCCTTGGCTTGGACTAGGTGTTTTGCTCCGAGTGATCTGATATGTTGCGTCTCTAGGTTTAGCGGCTTAAGGGGTTCCCAAGGACAAGCATTCCGGTTACTTCGGATTCACAGTTCCCACTGCCCATTGAGTTTGGGTTTCCCCTGGCTACAACGACAGATGCTCGGTCTCGTTCGCGGCCAAGAAGCAGCCGATCGCAACGTCACTAAGAAAATCCACCGTTGTGCCAAAATCAAATGGCTTTTGCTCTAGACTAGCGCGGATGAACACCTCAATCTTGCGGGAGAATGAACCCCGATCGCGATTCGATACAGTTAGCTAGGGTGACATGTTATTGCAGACCGGGAAAATCCTTTTGTTGTCGCTCGTTAGTACAATCAGCAAGAAATGGTATTGGTCGATGAACAGTTGCACCGCTAAAAGGCGAGGAATCAGGCTGAACAGAATTCGAGATGTCTGGCGAGTCGGCTAAGGTGTTGGTAAGCAAGCAATCTTGGTTCCACATCGAGCCAGGACAGGCCCTCCCCCCCCCCCTCTTTGTGAAGCTCTCCCTGCATTCTCACGCGCAGCATGCCCCTGATCCTTGAAGCTTCTGTCCAGGAGGCCAAAGCGTTTCAAGTCGAGGACGATGATGAGGAGTAGTGTATTATGCTGACGTTGCACAGTATTCCGTACGAGCCTTCGTCTTTTAGATCGAAAACGCAGCCACGTACAAAGCGACGTGCGAAGAGACGTGAGAGAGCCTGGGCCATTTGAATTCACGGGCCATCTGCAGGCCTTGGTCGATTCTGAATTCCCCCATTGACAGCCCGGCCAGTGTTGCTCGATGAATGTCCTCATGAGGTTGCATTATCTGCGGCGGGTCTTCAACTCCCCCTTGTCTTTGGTAGAATTTCTCCCTCCGCCCGTACCTCCCCACATTAAATCATGATAGCTCACGATCCCAGCTGGCAGCTCTTACAATTTACCCGGTGCTCCAAGCGCAACGAATGGCGTGCTTGCGATCCTCGTCGTTACTGGACATCGCTGCAGCTCGGTTCTGGGAGCGTCGGTGAGCTCAAACCCTGATCAGGCGTAGGAAGTCGATAGCAATGGGACACGCTCGGTGACGTTCGGGTTTGCCAGTCAGAACCGGCCATCAGCTAGCTACATCACTGACACGACGTCTCGCTAATTGAACGCCAACCACTTAACCAAAGCCGGGTCTTTACAATGACCAATGGGGAAAGAAACCTGAATCATTCCGCCAGCCAGATATTCATTGTAGGTAATGTACGGAGTAGCCCAGCAAGGCTTCTCTAGACATCCTTGCTGTGATCTGCCTGGCCTGCGAGAAACGATCGTGAATGCGAGTCATGAACCACACCTGTCACAGCCCTACAGCCCCGCATTGAGTAAAACACCAAGACCTCAACCGTTTCTGCAGGTATTAATTGGTGCAGATAAGCACCTAAAACATCAGACGTGCTCCCTCATCACGACCACTCTGCCAAGCTTTCTGCCCTTTAGAAGGTAAGCCTCCAAGCTTGCATGGTGCCGCAGGTGGCGTCTTGCTCTCTTTCGACGACCATCGTGCCTCCATTCGACGTTGGCGCTGACGCATTGGGACCCTCCGCTAGCTTCGGGGAGAGTTTCCCAAGGGTGAATAGGTTTCTGCCTATCTACGGAGAATGAAACGAACCAGCGGTTGCACCCCTCATAGCTGCAAGCCTCATGGACACATTTTCAACAACTCCCATCTTAATTCCGAAGCCTCATCGCATGTTCATTTCTTTATCGTCCTCGGACCTAGACTAACCATCAGGTCGCCATCGCTGTTGACAGCTCATTCCGAATCAATTGACTGTCATCTCCATGACCACAATTTCAATGCATTGACATTGGCCCACCTGCATACGCAATGACGGACTGAGAGTCCTGACGCAGCGAACACTTGTGGTTTAGACATACATCCTCGTAAGCCATTGAGTTGCATAATCTTCAAAGCATCGCAAGCACAGGTCGCTGAACACAGGCCCTCTCGACGGAAAGACAGGTTATTCAAAGAGCTGTGGTCGAAGTTTCATTGGCAAGTTAGCAAGGATATAATTATGTGCCACACTCGTCTACCAAGCCGCAAACATACTAATCAAGGACGATAATTGATATCTTGGGCCTGTCTGATTCTCGAACTTCACAAGAAAAGCTCTGACGATAGCAAGGTAACAAAGCATGGATGTTGGTATGGCCAGCGTTGATAAAAAAAAACCAGAGCAAGTATCGCAAAAACGACGCCGTTTGTTGCAAGCAGCATTTAAAGCTATATTCCGTACGACACCATGGGAGCTTTTGGAAATCTCGGTTCGGCGCACAAGTACACGTTGCTGGCGGACAAACGGCTCTCGATATATTTTGTTATTGATAGACATTTGTGAAGGCGCCCAAGCTTTCTTCAAATGGTGGTGACACAATGCTTCGCATTCTTCTCGAGTGACCGGTGGTAACCTGAAGGCATCTAGATCCATACTCGCTTGGGAAGTTAAGGTAAGCCCTAGGGTATCAACCAGTGAACCCAGCCACCAAGGGATATGAGGACGACGTTCTAATGTTTTCAAAGTCTTTCCTCATCAAAAAATCGCCCGAGCGAACGACTTACCTGGAGGTAATGTTCCAGTAAAAGTCTTCTCATGTTGGTATTAAGTTCGACAAGTCAATATGTGAGTCACATTACGATACAGACTTTTAGTCTGACCTCGGTCTAGAGTAACAGCTTACAGCTTCGCTGTTCTTCTTCCACGTATTCGGCAGTTCTCATTTTGGAGATCGAATCCTCTTCAATCTCTTGGCCATAATGTCGAAGTACTTGACATGTCGAAGGTGAAAAGTGCGCTACGACGCGACACTTGCTGCCTGCTCATCGTTTTCTCGTCTGGGCTTGGTGTGCCAACGAGTAAACTCAAAGAGGGTGCTGAGCCAACCATACCCCGATCAGTCCAAAGTGAATGGGTGCAGCATCTCAGACTGGAGCCACTCATCTTGAGAGGAGATCTCACATCGCAACAGACGTAATTATTCGACAGGTGCGTAAATCTGCCAGGCCTGTCTCATCAAATGCTAGATGCAACCAATACATTTGTATGCACTTTTTTGAGAGTTAACGAACTATAAGTTGATCCGACCCTGTTTCCCTCAAACTGCCTATGGCTAATTCTGAAATAGAATAGGATAGAGAAAGACCGGAGACGGATGGACTGACGCCACGATGGAGTAGGTGTCTAGGTCTATTGAGCTAAGTAAACACCACGAGTACACTATCCAGGTTTAAGAGTTGTCGTAGGGTATATATGGCGTTAATTGCTGCCCGCAGTTAACGGCGTTGTTCTTGCGATAAAACTTTTGTCTACTGATGGTTCGCGAGGCCCAATTACTAATTGTCTTCAGTCACGACGGCCGCTCTTTCCAAAGCTGTAGAGAATCGCGCGGTTCAATGGCTGTTAGTATGAGGTAACCGGTCAGCAACCTACGACGAATTTAGACAGTCACTCGGTAGTGGACGAGCGTCTTGCTGGCACTGAATTGATACCATGATTTCTGTTAAGGCAAACCTCATTGTGGATATCATGCTACGGCTTCAGGCTTGTTAAGAAAAAGCAATTGTGCGTTCGATGGATTTCAATTCTCGCATCGACAATGGGTATCTACTCCCTATACTGGCACTCTTCTTGGCGCAAAGCCTAGTTCAACCTCGCAATCAATTCTCGAGACTTGATTTAGCCGCCTTAGACAGCCTGGCACGCTTTAACCGGGATGCCCAAAATCCTGGTCAATCCGAAAAGCCTACCCATGTTCTCTTTGGCTCCAACTCTCAGCTCCTTTTTCACGGCACTTCTCAGCGACCCCTTCCAACCAAATACAGCCTCGACCGTTGGTGCCCAGCCGCGGGAGAAGTCAACTTGGGCAGGCTGCATCGTCATCCACGGCGTCTTCTCGTCAACCAATTGGGACGCGTACACAGCTGAGAGCTGCCAAATCTGTGCCGCCGAGGCCTGCGTCGGGGAACGGGCAACCACCCAGTAGAATCTGCTCAGTGTATCGACGCCGCCGATCAGGGCTTCATCAAACGCATCAGGGTCCCCGCTCGAGGCGCGAAGGAATTGGAAATACACTCTCGTCAGGCGCAGCGCATCGTTAGCGCGACAGTCGCGAAGCTGAGGCGTGTCCGCGATCCACAGCGGCGTATAGTGATATGGGTGATCGGGCTCGCGGGCGTTGCCGAGGTCGCCGAATTTCCACTTTCTAGGGTCATTCTCGGATGCCACGAAGATGTTTTCTAGCTTGACGTCGTCATGGCAGAGGTCGTGTGCCATGTGTAAGCTGTCGAGTGCCGAGAGGAGAGATTCGAATGATGGTCTGAACAATTGATCGAGCTCACGATACGTGTGCCGATTGTCAGACGTACGCAGCTTCTTTGCTAAGTGCTTCAGGGTGCCTGACTTGAGGAACGGCGAGACGAGATGCCATCTCGGAGCCCCCAACGGTTCCGTAGTGGCCAAAAAGTAGTCCTTCACCGGGACGAAGTGTTCTCGGTATTGCTCATCATCGAATAATGTCGAGCCGTCATCATGTCCACCCATGATCAGACTGGCAGGGATCTCGGTAGGCCATCTTCTCGGGGGCGCTTCTGTTCCCTGAATGCAATTGCGAAAGGGACTTGTCTCCTCGTTGTAGACTTTGATGACAGTGTTGTTGAATGTGAACGTTTCACCCTCTCTACCTCTTCCAAGTTTCTTCCAATGACGCCGGTTATCCAGTAGTATGCTGCGCTTAGTTTTTGTGGTATGAGAGTCGACTTTCCAACCAGTGCTAGTAAGTACTGCCTCGTCGTAATCTGAGAGGGAGTCGAACTGCGTCGGGAGATACTTGACTCTCATATACTCTCGATATCGGAAATGAAGGTCCAGTAAGTGGTATATGACGACGATGGAAGCAATTGCTAAGAGCCGAAGCGTCATCCGCGCTGTGAACGACTTCAATCCCCTCCGGCGAGCCCCAACGGGGCTCCAACTGCGACCTTTCATCGACAATATGTAGTGATGATTGAGTGTAGGAATTTTTGTGGGAGATTCCAGGGACAGAAAACCAGTAGCAGCCCCTCTCGTCTAATAAAGACGGCCGCCAAGCGGCTAAGTGTCGTCAGAAACAAGCAGCTCATCCATGGCGGTTGCAACCGAACTTACAAAAATACCAGGGAGGGGGAAGAAAGCGAATAAGCTACGCGACTACAACTATTCACCGTTGTCATACCGCCAAGGGGTTGCCACGTCGTCTAGCCATCCCCGTCATGCAACGCCGCCCACCCCAGGTCCAGGTTTATGACAGCCCAGGTCTTGCTCACCTCCGCCGCTGAAACAGGTGAACCTTTCAAGGTGGCTGCATCAACAACCTTTCTCTGCTCTTGCGAACCCCACAGACAAGGCGAAACCCGAGCCAGCTCGAGCCATGGCAAACATGCGCTCCAAGCTGGACGATGGCCTATATTGTCTCCTTGCCGATGGCCAAGATATCGCACTTCCATCGAGGAATGGACCTCCGAAATGAGTGCGGTCTCCCAAATACTTGCGTTGTCGATCCGGGGGTCAGCTAAGGATACCTTGGAGACCAATCAAAACCCCAGGAGCGGTTCCGAAAACCCGCCCAGAAGCTGCTTTTGGGGGTGATATTTCGCAAACGAACACGGCAATTTAGGCACACCAGCTCGAGGGAACCTGGTCCTAGCTGTAGATGTGAAGCACGGAAGACCTCGGCATGACCTCATTCTCTCCTCTCTTAGTCGAAGATGGAGGACCACCTTCGGTGCAGTAGCACAGATGGGAAGGCGAGGTCGGATTAAGGTCGATTTGAGGTGTGAGACAGAGAGGGACATCCCTCCCACCGCGACAAAGTCAATCTTTCTTTGGGAGATGCTGACATGGATTCCCTGACCATCGCCCAACCCATCACATTAGGTACTTACAGACATGTCATACTGCGCTCCATGTGCAAGCCAACCTCCCTGGATGACACGTTGTTATTTCTACGGTAACGGCCTCTGTCAAGTGGCTGCCATTTAGAGGTGGACCTTGTTGCCCTTGGGCCTGGATGTCAACCTCCGACTTCCTCTTATGCACCATTGGTATTCGTTTCCATCGGGATCTTGATCAACCGGTCTTCTTACCCTCGTCCCTCGCGGAATTACTCCCTTTTCGCGCTGGATCTATTGAGAAGGTCCCGGATTCCCCAGCGTCATGGGCCGCATAAAATCCGGAATCCTGCTGTCGTCCGATGAGCGGTCGAGTCGACCGCCCTCACCGTCTAACACTCAGCTGGAAATACCGCATTGATACTTGTACTTCGGCGCGTCTTCCTCGACCTACTTAACCCATCTCACCTTACGTACAATTACAGTCTAGTTGGCCCATTTACTTGAAAACGGTCCAAGTGATACAACAGACTTCCCCCCAAAGATGGGCGATACCGCGATCCGAAAAGGTTGGGGTCTTCAAGCTGAAAAGGCAAAATCCGCCTCGTCCGTTTGAACCCACAGACAGCCGCACAGCGCATGCCAAGAAACTCAATGGGGTCTTTTGCAGCGGAACAGAATTGCGAGGCTGTTTGAACTCTTATATGCAAAGCGTCCCGAGCTCGACATTTGGGTCACGAACCACCCAGAAGCGGGAACGTGAAGCCACGTCGTGTCTGGTATTAAGCTTAGCTTTCCTCCTCCAAAGCCTATGCCGGTTTGTGATCCCCATGTTTTACATGAGTCAGTTTGATGCTAATATCATATAACGGCATTTTAGCGAACTATTCGGCAGTAGTCAACGAAACCCGCTGGGCGCATAATTTCTGAAGTTGTACTCAATTTACTTCCCATCCTTTTTGCCTCCTCTAACACGTCTTACTGAACTCATATAGTGAATTCGCCAGGGACATCACAGACTTGGCCCATGCTTCACCCACCACTTCTTGATCCTATCCTCCATGTTCCTATACTGGCATGTTCCTTGGCAATCCTCATGCAAACAAAAATTCGGAGGCCAATGTTTGTCCTCAAATGCCCGCCGTCTTTCGTAAATGGGCAGAGCTTCGCCAGACACGGCCACTGAGCAACGCTCCTGCTTCGTCAGATGAGCCCACTCCATCTGTAATTCTCTCAACCCCGCCGCGATACTCCGGCGTTCTTCGTAGAGATAGTCAATCATGTTTCGCGGTAGCACGTGAACAAGCTTGGCCTCTGGGATCTTCCAATAGCCCGCAGTCGTACCGTCCGACGTCCGTGTCTCTTCAAAGTCCTCGCCACCGGCGACCATTCTGGCTCTCTGCTGCTCGAGAAATTCCCGTTGAACGCGTCCCATATACCCACTGTAAGATACCGCCCCCGACTCGGTCCCGATTCCAGCCCCGGATTCTCGGTGATTCTCCATAAAATTCACCAAATGCAATGCCCCGAACCCAGACCGAAGAACTTTACACGTATTCCCCCACTCAGCTTCAACTAGACAACCCAGCCCCGCCATATCAGCAAGCTCAACATTCTCGACGACGAAATCACCACTCTTCCTCGCCACATAAATAACGCTACCTGGCACCACCGGCGGTAGCGGCAAATCCCACCGCAGTGACGACGACAGAAAACAGGGTTCAAACACCCGCCAACCCTCCACTTCAGTCCGCGTCCACTCCACAAACCAGAGTTCCTCGACGGACCCCAACAATTTCAGCAACAGAGAGATACACAGCGATGTGGTCGCCGACACGCCGCTCTCCCACATCGGCATCCTGTCCGCGTCGGACAGCGCATCCGCCGAACCCTCCAGCGCGAGCCTACGCACTCGGCGCAGATCCGCCGGTGCAAACTGGCCTACGTCCCACGGGCCTCCGCTTAGCAAATCGGGCCGGCGCTCGTCCTTGAGGGGGACATCTGAGAGGAAGAGAGTATCCCTGTCAAAGTGGAACCACGTCCGCGGTCCGGCCGTCCGCGTCTCAAAGGCGAGGCGATAGCCGCCCCGCGTCAGTATGCTGCGAGACTCGGCGCACGTGTGTAGTAGCGGCGGTATCGGGGCCTTGCTATACAGATAGCCCTCCCTGACGATCTCCCACGCGAGCTCTGGCTCGTTGGCTAGCCATGACGGGGGTATTTCTGGACACTGCGCTGACGGAGTCCAAGGCTGTTGGATGGGCTTGCTTCCAGTGAAGCCGTGCTCCTCTAGGGCTGTTTGGCGGAAGTGAGATCCATCCCCTATACGCCTTCTGATCTCATCAGCCCAATTGGCACGAAAGAACTGGATATCGGGATGGATTCGGAGCTGGACCGGGTGCGTGCTCAGGGTCTCCTCGAATTCGTCATACTCGACGGCCGTCTTTTCCTTGATGTTTACAATACGGGGCGGGGTGGCAAGCCAGTAGATCTCTCGCCGAATCTCAAACGGGAGAGACAAGAAGCAGAGGAACTCGCTTGGGGCCATGTTGTTCTGTTACGTGAAAATCAACGCGTTGCTGTACGTGAGCAATAGCACTCCGTCAAAAAGCCCAAGTAGCGAAACGCGAAGAGTGGGGTTATGCCATTTTAGGCAGCACTGTAACGGTGGCAGGAATGATTCTCAACTTGCCTTAGGTAAGTAAGACAGCACATTCATCGACATATTGGCATGTAGGCAGTTCACTTAACCAACGACAGACTTCCACTCAGAGACGGCAATTCTACAGAAGCCCCGGCTCGTCTTGATTGGCGGGAACAAATGCCGCAACGGGAAGAGATCAACAGTATCAGGACAAACGGAAGTTTCCGATGCCAAGATTGTTCCTTGTGTAAGTCGGTATATTTTGACATTTGACATGGGTTGGGTGGAACCCTCTGACTGCGCGTGGTCAAAACTTAAGGCCACGACCTTGGTTTTAAGCAGATACTATAACGGGGGGAAGAAAAGGACATCAGTGGTATAGTACAGCAACGAGTTCAACTGACAGATTTTTCTGAATGTGTCCTTGAACCATGTTCTCTTCAATTCGACGCGATGGCAAAGACGTTGTCCCCAGAATCTGAACCTCGGGGACTCGTTGCCGATACATGCAGCTTTGCAGAAATATTTCCCGCGGGATATCAGAGTCAGACCACGATATATCAACTCAGAAATTACTCCGCACGATCCAGTAAATTAAGAAAGTTCCATGATCCAAAACCCAGGGGAGCAAGCAATTCACCAAAAAGTCGTGCTTACTAGCTCAAGTGTCAGCCCAGGTCCCACCAATGTGGTTATGATTAGGACGGAACCATCCATGGTAGCTTGGTCAACCTCATTTCCTAGAGCGCATGTTCGCAGATTATTCCCAGCGAGCCTTGCCCATGTAAGAAGGATAGACGCTGACTAGTGTGTATAACAGCGATTTGGGTCTGTGGTCAATATAAGTAGGTTTGACGGGAGGCAAACATGACTCAACTACCATATCGTGAAAATCACCGAGCTTCTCTCCCCGATCCTGAAACCACTAGGGGGTCTGGAAATGCGTATTCAAAGCCCCTAGTTCAAACCTCAGTGCGTAAGAAATTCAAATACTACCATAATGAAGTAGGAGCTACCTGTATAAGTAATTGCGAGGACTTTCTGACTATTCAGTTTCCTCATCTCTGTTGGAAGCTATCCAGATTGCCCATCTCAGCCCAAAACCTACTACTGTAATCACTAAACGACTCTCGTTAATCTCGACATCATGCAATTCACCACTCTCTTCGCGCTCGCAGCCGCCGTGGCCTCGCCGGCGATCGCAGCCTCTTGCAGACCCTACAACAACCCGGGCATGATGGAGGGTAACCGATGTACCGCCAAAGAATCGTGCCCGTGGGGCCAGCGTTTCGGAGAAATCAAGGGATATAACTTTGGCGATTGGGGCAAGCCGTGCTCTGTCGATGTAAGACGCAGGTCAACAATGGGACTCACATCTGGGGTATGCTGACACTTTGATAGTTCACCTGCTGTACTCGGTAAAAGCTTGCCAGGGGAAATCAATAATAAAATGGAAGGAAGTAGGCTCGGCACGTTTCGTTGACTTACGATCAACCCTTTTTTTCGATTTAATGAAACGGCCAGTGGATGAGGAGCATTGCAAGACATGGTTGATATTAGTTTGAAGATACCCGTGTAGGGCCAGTCTGCAGATTTCGAATATTGGTCTCATTATCAACAACTTCTTCGGGAAGTCAGCATGACCAGCACGACGCCTGTTGGAGCTTCCTTCATCTCTGACGCTGAAAGGATCGGAGTTCTTCAGAATTGTTGATTCTTCTACATAACACATAAGCGCTAGAATTTGAGTCATCTCGACTTTTCCCCTCCAGCGTCAACAACATGGCCGAAAGTGACACATTTCATTATTCACAATGAAGACCGCCTCTCTTTTTGGTCTAATGTAATCCAACGCCCTCGTTAAATGCTTTACGGAAGCAGTCTCTTGGGCGTGCGAGGGTAGTACGCCGCAAGGTGAACACTGGGCAAAGCCAGGAACCAAGCAACCACGCGGTCGAGACCAATACCACCACCACCGTGAGGCGGCACACCAACCTGTCGGAAAACATTGAGGTACTCCTTGATTCCGGCGCTTTCCGGGTCGATGCCCTTGGCGCGGATGCGCTCCTCGAGCTCGGCCGGGTCGTTGATACGTTGACCACCAGAGAGAACCTCCTGGCCACGGATGAAGAAATCAAAAGCGTTTGTGACACGGGTGCCCTCGCCAGTCGTGGTGCCGGCATCGTCGAGCTTGGCATAGAATGGACGCGCCGTCTCGGGGAACTTGTCGATGACGTAGAAGTCGGTGTTGTACTTCTTGCGCACGACCTCTCCGAGGGCCTTCTCCTGAGGGGTGCTCATATCCTCATCGTCACGGACGTTGGCGAACTCGGCGGGGCCCTCTTCACGGAGAAGCTTCTGGGCCTCAGCGAAGGTCAGGCGAACCTCCTTGCCAGGCTCGGGGAGGAGGAGAGGCTCGGAGTGGTAAACGGATCGGACGGTCTCAATCTCGTCGGCACATCGCTCTGTTTCAACGAGAATCACGGTTAGCATTCGCGAATGAAAGAAACAAACAAGAGGCTTCGGCATGGTTGTCAACTAACCCTGAATGCCACGGAAGATGGAAAGCAAGACGCCCTCCAGGACGGTGAGGACCTCGGTGTAAGACTGCTTGATCTCCATCTCCACATCGAGACCGGTGAACTCGGTCATATGTCTCGGGGTGTTGGAGTTCTCGGCTCTGAAAACAGGGCCAATGCTGAACACGCGCTCTCTGCCACCGGCAATCTCGAATTGCTTGTAGAACTGGGGCGATTGGGCGAGGAAAGCCTCTTCGCCGAAGTATGCGAATCGGAAGACGTTTCCACCGCCCTCGGAGGCAGCGCCGATGAGGCAAGGGGGTTCGAATTCCTTGAACTTCTGGTTCTCGAGATATGAACGGAAGATCTTCTTCACTTCGATACGGATATCCTATGCAGGTTCAGTCAGTAACAGCATTGATAGCTTAGCATTGAGTATAGACGTACAGCAATGGCCTGCTGGACGGGAGCGCGCTTGTGCATGGCAATGTTGTCGAGATGGGTGAGCATGGTTGCGGAGGGAACCGTGTTTTCGGCGGCAGCCTTGGCAGCCTTCTCTTTCTCGGCTTCAGCATCGGCGGCCGGGGCCTTCTCGTCGCTGAAATTGACAATGGGCTGGCTGGCAGCTCCCAAAGTCATGCCAAGCATGGCGGGGGCCGGTGCGAGGACGAAGCACTTGGTGATGTGAAGCTCCAAACCAGAGACCCTGCAGCTCTTGACGGGCTCAAGAGGCTGCTTCACCTTGGCCTCAACCACGACGTAACTCTCAGGGTTAATGCTGGTGATCCACTTGACCATGCGGCGACTGACAATAGGCTCCTCGTCAGAGGCCATGAGGACACCCTGGATGTTCCAGTTGCCTCCCTTGCGGAGCTCGACGAAGCCCATCTTGGCACTCTGGACACGGGAGTTCTGAAGCCATGCACGGACAATGACGGTCTTGCCATTGTGGGAATCATTCAGGGCGCGGATTTCGACTTCTTCGGCGTCCTTGCTGAAGACGGGCTTGGTGCCATAGTTGTCCTGGGCGGGGTCGTCCTCGAGGGTGACTGCGGCAGCTTGCTGGGCAAGCTCTGCGGCGCGCGCAGCCTTCTGGGCCTCCTTCTTAGCCTTGGCCTCGGCCTTCTTCGCGCCCTTCTTGGACGTCGGGGGTTCGGCTGCGTCGGCCATGATGCTGAGGTTTTTTTGTAATTTGCGATTGAGCTCGACACACGATCAGGCGTGGAATTGAGGGGTAAAGTCAGGCACAGAGTATTGGAGGGGCAATGAGGGGCAAGGTGGGAAAAATTTGGATGTCATTCCACCACGTGACTCTTATACCAGTAATGCACAGACCACCACTACAGCTCGGCGTGACGTGGTGGGATGGATTCAAGGAGCTCCTTTGAATAACTACGTAGTACACGCACTTTGCTAGACTGCCGGGAGTCATGTTGAATTGGAAACACGGCTCACCGAGCCTTCAAATACGCGGGTGACTCACTATGTAGCCGCATCTAAGCGTGATAGCGGTGCGAGTCTATGGAAGCCAAAGCTAACTACAAAGATGAGTTGAGCAATACTGACGAAGATCGTCAACATGCTAGAAATCCCTGCACGCTTTCTTATGTTATGATGGACATGGGTGTTGATTCAGCCACATTTCTTCCCTTGAGATCCTGGTTCTACCGTCTATCCAGAACGACGAAGTAGAGGATAGCATAAATCAACCTAATGCCTGATCCAATTGCTTCATCTTTCCTCATCATCATGGTCTTTTATCACACACTGCCGTAGTCATGAGATTTCAACATTAACTTGCCCTGGTTTATTCTGCATATTATCGGTGCAGCTTCTGCGATCTCAGACTGAATATACCGTCTGATGAGTGAAAATGAAAGCTTGCAAGCCCTTTCTGTCAATATTGAAGGATCCTAGGCCCAGGACCCCATCCTCGAGTCTCGCTTCCGGTGGGGTTTGGGCAAGTATGCGAAACAGCGGACAGACATCAGGTACAGGTTTGGAGTCTAGGAGCACCAGGAGATGGATGGCCAAGGTAAGAGATAGGGCAAGAAAAAGGCACGCTGTTGTCGTATTGGGCTCTACTCATGCTTACACGCATATTGTATTGTTATGGTGCCCCTCCACCTCATATCATATGTGCAAATTCGTTTCTTCGTCCCTACGCCAATCTTTGAATCCAATCTCCTCTAGTCCGTTCCGAGCCTCCACAGGCCATCGCCGAGGAAATGTGCCTCCTCCACAACGGGCCCCTTGCCCTTATCCTTAACCTCCTTGGTACCAGCAACCAAGAACCCAATAGCACACGCCTCCGTCTTGCCCTCCGCCATAATAACAACCGCCTCCCCCTTCTCCAGCTCCCGGCTCCATCTACCTTCCTCGTTAACGCCCTCAGCGCCTTCGCGGGGCTCAGGCAACCGCCCACCCGCGCTCGTCAGCCCAGGGGCCATGAGCGTGGCGCCCGAGAGCACGAAGCGGATGGCACCGCGGTCGATACGGATAGTCGGGAAGGCCTGCGGGAAGCGGTGGACGAGCTTGAGATGCGGGACGAGGGTGGCGTTGTCTTGCTGGTAGAAGAGGGGCTGCTGCTCGCAGACGAACAGGGAGCAGCGGTCGGGCAGCTTCATCTGCTCGAGGGATGCCTTCTTGGGCATCACTTCTTCGATGTAGGGGTTCAGCAGGGGGAAGCTTGAGAGGAGCGAGTCGCGCAGGGAGCGTTGGACGGAAGACTTGAGCTTCTGCTTCGGCTTGGAGGTGATGCTGGAGGGCGGGGTAATTTTGTTAGCTTTCTTGCGGGGTTTATGTGGTTTAATCATTGGGTTGTTTGGAGGGGTGGCGACGTACTCTTTCTTGAACATTTTGGCGGTATTCAATCGACGTCTGCTAGGAAACAGAAAGGGGTATCACTGGTGTATTTGGGACGTCGTCGAGAACTGTCGCGTCTTTGGTAGTCTGTGGTGGTGGTTGATGGTGGGGTTGTTTGGAGCGAGGATCGCAGAGGAAAATTGCCCCGCAGTCGGGCGGGCGGGGCGGACCAATCATGCACCGATGGAGGGGCAAGCACTTCACGCGCGAGTGGCTTCACAGACGCATCACGTCACTTTGATCGATGGGAGAAAACGAACAAGTTGCGAGTGATTGGGGGTTTAGGGAATTAAAAATCATAATTCTTCCAAAGATCGTAACTATACTGTCATGCAAAAAGCTTTATCGTAACCCATGATCGCGTGCGCGCTTCTGTGGCCCCTGCTCAAAGTCTCTCTGAACGTAGAAAAGCGCAGGAACTCCTTCGTCGCAACAGCTTAACCGTGGTTGACGTGAGAAACGGTGCCGTCCTCCTTGACGTGGACGTTGAGTCTGTTGGGTCTGAAATCCTTAGTGACCATCATGCCAGGCTCGATGACGCGCGACTCCTCGGGGAGATCCCTCTTGCAGAAAGTCTAGATAGCACCAGGTTAGCACTGTCGAGCACACTCTCAGCGATGAGACTAAGGGCTAGCTTACTGTCTCGTTTGACTCCTCCTCATGGAGCTTCTTGCCGACCAGCTTGTTGGTCCAGAGCTGGGTCTTGTCATCAGAATCGTTGTTGTTGATACCAGGTACGACGAGAGGCATGATGGCGGTTGTGCTTGTGAGATTCTAAGGGTGTTGGTTGTTGTCGGGTGGGTTGAGAGCGTATGCGACTTGGTGTGAGAAAAGGGTGTATAATGAGGTTGAGCGAGATGAAGATGGAGTAACTGATGGTTTAATAGCAGTGATGGGTCGTGGACGTCCAAAACAGGAAGGTTGGAGGTCTAGAAGCTGCATCGACCGATGACGTCGTAATTGTGTGGGGGCGGGGGTTTTGTTCGCAGAACTCAGGGACTACGGATACCTAATACTCGTCCGACGCAAAGCGCCGCCGGGACGATCTTGGAACCGAAGCACGTCAACCTCTAAAAGTCCGGCAGTAGGCCCTCAATGACCCCTGTTCCTTATCTTGCTTGGTATTAGAGCACTTGGCAGATAACGTTTAGTTCCGATGGCCTTGACCAAGATCAAATCCTCGTCCAACATATTATGTGCATGTGATGACCACCAACATGCCATAGGTACTAGACTGCTGCGTAGCACGGGCAGCGGTTCATATTGCTAGAGCTGGCCGGGCTGGGTGACGTTTTGAAAACATCATTTACCTTGGCACATCTGTTCGTTTTTGACCAGAAGTAGTATGCGCTGGAAATACTGAAAGCGCGAATAAGATGGAACAAACCACAGAGTTCAAATAAGGAAGGTAGCAGCCAATGTGCCATGTGAGGGAGGTGCACAAAATTGTTTGAAGAAAGCTGGTAAATCTCCACCAACGCTGACTCCTCCACGTGCAGGTACGGAGCAAGTAAGCCGGCCACAGCTCCAGCGGTTATTGCACTACGCATACAGTATGGCTGCCCCGCCTCAGACATGGGGGAGTGAGTTGCTTCACTGTTACTGTTTTGGGAACCAAGTTACGAACACACTGTTTGAAGCAATCCGGCCCCGAGTGCGGTAGTCTGACGGAGCGGAGAGTTCACGCCCGTCAGACTGTCATGAGGTAAGCACAGAATTTAAGGTAGGAATCGTAGCACGTGCAGGGTTGGACCGGGCTTCACTTGGGTCTGTGCACCTGGTGAGAATGGAATGGCAGGGGCCTTCCTTCCTTCCTTCCAGGCAGAATCATTCGATATGGTCCCTGCCGTTTGGACTTTGCATGGACGGAAAGAATGAACTATGGAACCATCTTTATACTTACCTCACGTATACTTACCCGTTGTCTGGTCATTTCCTGGATTTGACGTTGATCGGTCCGACAACATTCCATGTGCAGCTGTGGAATGCGCTCGTTCTTGACCTGCCGATTACCTCGACCTTCGCTTTCGCCTTTTCCACCCTCTGCCGACTTTCTCTGTCAGCGGAAAAGGAACAGCGCCCCACCCTGATCTCGGGTTACTAGATTCCCATCGTCTTCAAGGGCTCATGATCACGGATATGAATCCACTGCTGACGGCTTTTGTTTGCCTGCTTATTTTATGTTGGCAGGAAAGCGACCTTGTCTCAGGTGGATGCTAGCCTGGGGTTATTCGCAACGTCTGACCGCATCGCCGCGCCGTTTCCCGGCCAGGCCATCGCAAGAATGGCACTGGCACCGACACAGCAAATACAAGAAGTCAATGTGTGAAACGAGGCCAGGGAAATCCATCTTGCCTACCTCTTTCTACCCATCTGCAGACCAAACGATATTGAACAGTCGTTAAGCTCGATCCAATCATCCAGCCACGGGGAACCACCAACGTCTAATAATTAGTTCAGGACCTCAGCTGCTGCATGGTGTCGTCCGAATATGGACGGAAACGAGGGGTTGGCTCAGCTTACAGGGTGGCAGGTCTCAGCCACGGGCAAATCGAACCAAATAATCAGCAGCCAGTCGGAGCCGCAGCAGGGATCAAACACTACAGCCCTCAGCACTAACACCAAGCGAGCGATTTCTTCTTCTCCTCAAGTTCTCAGCCATCAGGGAATAGCTTCCCTAACCCCCCGCCGGAGCAGAAGTGTTGCAGCCTGCTCAGTGCTGCATGCTGCGGACACATGGCGGAACTGGACCACGACAAGGCAGATATGAACCCGGTGAGGCGGCTCGCTATTGGCCTAACTTCCGAAATTCAGTGCAAGTTCCCCCTCGCCTCGTGGGGTTCCAAGTCTTAGAGTTTTCTCTGTGCCTCTTCCCCTTAGACGATTTAGGCCAAGCCGCGTGCCGGGAACAGCATATGCTATTTTAGCTTGAGCAAGTGGGTCTCAGGCCCATTTCGACAATCAAAAGCTTCAGAGGAAGTTCAGGCCGTTTCGAGAGGAAGAATTTGCGATAGCGATGGATGTCAAGCCAATGACTAGTGGCTGTCGAACGAGACGGAGTCGTGATTCTCTCGAACGACCAAAGAGACACGCTCACAGCCCGACATCAGATCAGACGGCATCTCCACGTGAAGGCATCGTGAACCGCCCGTGCAGAAGCAGATGCGAGCAAGCAACAGAACTAATTATGGAGGCCGGCGCCGTCAGCCACCGACTCCAGCTCCCATTCGCCGGGTGGACTAGCAAAGGGCTGTGCTGCAGGAGCAGGAAGTACCTAGCACCACCAACAAACTCAAGCCCTCCCAGAGTCCAGATTCCAACACCGTCTTCTCCGGGAAGAGCTGCTGCGGAATGAAGGCCCCAGCCTTACACAACAAGCCCCCCAAGCCTAGTCCTGCTAAGCTGCAGGTAAGCAATGAACAGAGTGAGCCTAGGCGGAGCCCCAAGACATGACCAATCCCGATCCCAACGGGCACTGGGCCCCCGTGCTGAGGTGCATTTTGCTCTCGTGGCATTGGCGTTGGCGTCGTTGGCGTCCCTCAGCTCACGACCAGAGAGACAAGCAGCAAGACAAGGACGGTGAGGTGACAACAGCAACAAGCCAAAATGGGTACCGCCAGTCCCGGCCCAACCCCGAGGCGCCGAGAGGCGTCCAGCTCCTTCACTTCTTTTTATTGAAGCTCATTCCCAGCCCATCCGGCGTAGGCCACTTTTCTTTCCTTCCTTGTACTGCTTCTCACTTCCTTCGGCCCCTCGAGCACATAGATTCGCTCCTCTCCATCACAGTATCAATCATACAAGGTTCGCCCATTCCCAACTATCCGACCTTCGACTTCACTACCATACTAGAAGTTGCCTTGAATACCTTGAGGTGGCGTGTTGACGGCACTGAGAACTGAAGCTGCCGGCTACCGAACCAATCTTCCCAATCAGGAAGCTACCAAACCCCAACTACGGAGTACAGTTCGTCATACAACACCACATCGACTCCCGATACTTTGGGGCCGGCACTTGAGCACCCACTCCGAACCGCTGTCAATCCCACCTTGAACGGACCCCCGTCCCGGCAATCATTTGCGACACCCCACTAAACCCGGGCAATATGCGTTCATCCCAGTCCGCCCCGGCGCTTGTTGCGCTTTTCTTTGCAGCCGCGGCCTCAGCCCTGTCGCCGGCGAGATTGCATTGCCTACGATCACGGAATCTCGAGCTGGCTAGAGTGGCAGCCTGTGGCGAACCTGGATCGGTGGCCCACTGCATAGAAATGCTCACCGACGACTTTACACAGACCGATCTGGAGAGATGCTACATCAATGCTGGTTGCGACTTTGCCGAAGCCGTCATCGAGTCGCAGTGGACTCTGGATAGGTGTGACAATACCGGCAGTGCCCCTGCCGAGTTGCGCAAACGCCATGTAAACGTCTTCGCGCGTCAGACTACAGAGGCGACTACGGCAACGGCTGAGACGGCCACGGGTACATCCACCGGCACAGCAACCTATTCCAGGCTCACGTGCTCTACGACGACGACCAAGGCGACGACGCAGTGCCCTGTCGTCTCTACGGGCGTGCAGAAGGGCAAGACTCTCAAGGAGGGCTGCTTCCCTACACAAGTGGTCTACGCAACATGCGCGGCGGGCCTGCTTTGCAAGAATGATAACTCAAACAACCCTTCGTGTAAGGTGTTGGACAACACCGTCTACCCGGGCGGCATTGCCGTAGCGCTCTTCTTCGCCGTGGCCATCACGGGCTCCATTGCGTGGATCACATTTCTCTGCTGCAAGGAGAGGAAGCAGAAGAAGCGCAACGCGGACAGGGCTCAGGCCGCACTGGATGCGAAGATGGCGGCCAAGCGACAGCCAGCTGTGCAAGTTCACGATTCGGACAATCAGCCGCTCATGTCGCATGGGCAACCCGCTGCTGCGTATGAAGCGCACGGTCCATTTGGCGACCAGCACCGGATGTAAGGTGGAGATAAAGAGATGTGGATTGCGAGGGGTGTGATGAATGATCATCGGGGATGAGGGCGTAAAGAGTAGGCACGGTTCAAGATACCTCAGTGTTGTGTTTGATTTTGATTTCGATGTTTAAAGGGCGCATCAAGGTTCAAGGGTGATGAGCCAACGAGTAAACAAAATTACAAGTCATCCTCTTTCTAGTCTAAGGAATCCGAGATGCCTCGTCAACCGATGACCGTGCTGTTAAGCTGACCCTGCATCAAAGTGCATTAGTTGCTCTACTATGCGACCGGGACAGACCGGATGAGGGGGACCGGGACCCGACTCAATCGGTCGGCTGCGGCGCAAACGACGAACGATTGTCAATACTACACGTGGATGTGTGTATGCATGGTGACTGGAAATGAGGCTAATTCGTGCTGACGGATGCGGCCAAAAGAGAGTATTGTTAATTATGAGCGGGCGGCAGCCCCCATGTCTCGCGATTCCTGGGGTTGGAGGGAGCCGTTTTCTGACAGCTGCAAGCCCGGATCCGTGACTGGACCGCATGCGACATGCAGCAGCGCTTGGCATGTTAGGTTTGTGGATGTTGACCAGACATGAGATGAGATGCATGGTGCATGGTGCAACACCGAGAGGACGGGAATCACGGGATGGCATTGTCGAGACTAAAGTGAGGTAGAGAAGAAAGATGGTGAATAGAGACTGAGTGGATTTGTTGACCCGTATCGATAGGAAAAGATAGGGGACCTCGGGAGACTCTCTTGTGGAGGAATTCGTGGGAGTGTACCATGCGTGACTCCTTGCGGTTCACGACTAGAGATGCTCGACCATTCCTGTGGCAGGGAAAGCGTGGAAACGGTCACAGATGTCGGGTAGGTATTTGCTCCGCCCACTTTCCTCGGTCTGGCACTCAAGCTCGGGGAGGGAGACCGGAAGAGATGAGACGACGGAAGAGAAACAGTATGGGGAATGAGGTAAAGGACCAATCAAGGTGAGTCATAATGCGGTTGAGTCAGCAGAGGTGGCTGGCCGTTCTATCGAAGGTGCCGCTGTCGTTTTTGCCGTTCTTTATAGCTGCTGGTAGGAAGTTAGGAATACTGTTAGGAAGGAAGGGAAACATGGAAGGAAGGCGGTAAAGATGCAGCCAGCGGGAAGCAACCAGTCAATGGGAGGGAAGGTCAGGCCGATATCGCCACCCCAGATTGGACACAAGGCCCGTGCCCCTCCCCCGAAAGGCAACGCTTGTTCGTTCTCGCCCCCGTCGTGGCCCGTCCTGCGCCCTTCCAGCCAGTCATCGGCCGGCTACCCCACACCTCGACAGCCGATAATTTTTTTGGTTTTTTCCTGGCTCCGAAACAGCAGCCGCGCCTCTCTGCCGCTCTGCATTTGTGCTGCCAAACTGTGTGAGAGAATGAGAGACTGGGAGAGAATAGAGACAGAGACCGCGGTGACTCTACGGATACCTTACAGAGTTAAACCCCGGTGTGCGGCGTGCCTTGCCTGTCTTCTATCAACCATTACCAGTACACTAAGAATTGTGTCTGTGCCCGGCCCCCAATTCCCAGTCTCGAATTTGACATCTGCTGGGTAATTTGCCAAAACCTTGTGACTAGGCTTGCTTTCCCTTCCCTCCTCCTTCTCTCCTCCTTCCCTCCTCCAATTGACTCCGCGATCTCTGCAACCTCCATCCCCCCTGCGATCGTCCAATTCGACGAGCCGCTCCCCTCTCTCTGTATCTTCCTCTGTCCTCAGAGACATTGACGAAGCATCACACCGAGTGACTCCTTCTCTTCTTCTTTCCACTTTGTTTCTTCTCCTCTTCCCCGGTTCCTCTCCACTCCACCGCACATCATGATGCTCCGAACCCGCCACGCCGCTCGCGCCCTCAAGGCCGTCTCAAGAGCGAGCGCTCCCCGTACCCTCACCACCTCGTCCGCCGTCGCCGCCATCCAGGCCACCAAGAAGGTCCCTACCGGTGTGAGAACCCAGGCTACCTCTGCCACCTCGCCCGCTCCGTAAGCTTTCTCTTCCCATGCTCCCATTGACCAGGGAAACTCTCCAGCTACTCGAGTAGAGGAAGCTCTGTGACTCACGAACGTTTTACTAACGATGCTGTTCTCCCAACTGCAGTGAGGTTCGAGACACACCCGCACCCGCCTTCAATGCCGACAAGAGCCATGTCCAACCTCTCCAGCGCTCTTCCGGGCCGGAAATGGACGAGTCGTACGTAGTCTTCGTCGCCAATTATACCCGCTGCCGTTGTTGGCTTGTTGTAGTAGGCGCGCGAGAAAGCTTACGGTGTTATACAGGTTCATTGGCAAGACCGGAGGAGAAATCTTCCACGAGATGATGTTGAGACAGGGCGTGAAGCACATCTGTACGTGACTCAACTGGGTACATCAGGATGGCAGTAAAGAGACATGTGACTGACCTTGACTCACAGTTGGATACCCCGGAGGTGCCATTCTCCCCGTCTTCGACGCCATCTACAACTCAAAACACTTCGACTTCATTCTCCCCAAGCACGAGCAGGGCGCCGGCCACATGGCCGAGGGTTACGCCCGCGCCTCGGGCAAGTGCGGTGTCGTCCTCGTCACCTCTGGCCCCGGCGCGACCAATGTCATTACCCCGATGCAGGATGCCCTCTCCGACGGTACCCCCATGGTCGTCTTCTGCGGTCAGGTCGTCACTTCCGCCATTGGCAGTGATGCTTTCCAGGAGGCCGATGTTACCGGTATCTCCCGCGCTTGCACAAAGTGGAACGTCATGGTCAAGAACATTGCCGAGCTCCCCCGCCGTATCAACGAAGCTTTCGAGATCGCCACCAGCGGCCGTCCCGGTCCCGTCTTGGTCGATCTTCCCAAGGACGTCACCGCCGGTGTCCTGAGGAGAGCTATCCCCACCGAAACCTCTCTGCCTTCTCTCCCGAGCGCCGCCTCAAGAGCTGCCATGGCCCTGCTCCAGAAGCAGCTTGAGCAGTCCATCAAGCGCGTTGCTGACCTCGTCAACGTCGCCAAGAAGCCCATCATCTACGCCGGTCAGGGTATTGCCCAGTCCGAGGGTGGCCCCGAGATCCTCAAGGAGCTTGCCGACAAGTTCTCCATCCCCGTCACCACCACCCTTCACGGCCTCGGCTCTTTCGACGAGCTTGACGAGAAGTCCCTCCACATGCTTGGTATGCACGGTTCTGCCTACGCCAACATGGCTATCCAGCAGGCTGATCTCATCATCGCTCTCGGTGCCCGTTTCGACGATCGTGTCACCCTCAACGTCGCCAAGTTCGCCCCTGGCGCCAAGGCTGCCGCTGCCGAGGGCCGCGGTGGTATCGTCCACTTCGAGATCATGCCCAAGAACATCAACAAGGTTGTCCAGGCCACTGAGGCCGTCGAGGGTGACGTCGCCACCAACCTCCGCACTCTTATCCCCCACCTGAAGCCCAAGACGATGGAGGACCGCAAGGAATGGTTCGACAAGATCAGAGAGTGGAAGGCCAAGTGGCCCATGTCCGATTACGAGAAGGCCGAGCGCTCCGGCCTCATCAAGCCCCAGACCCTCATTGAGGAGCTCAGCAACCTGACCGCCGACCGCAAGGATACGACCATCATCGCTACCGGTGTCGGTCAGCACCAGATGTGGACCGCCCAGCACTTCCGCTGGAGACACCCCAGGACCATGGTCACCTCTGGTGGCCTGGGTACCATGGGATACGGTCTGCCCGCCGCCATTGGCGCCAAGGTCGCTAAGCCTGACGCTCTCGTTATCGACATTGACGGTGACGCCTCCTTCAACATGACCCTTACCGAGCTTTCCACCGCTGCGCAGTTCAACATTGGCGTCAAGGTCATTGTTCTGAACAACGAGGAGCAGGGTATGGTTACGCAATGGCAGAACCTCTTCTACGAGGACCGTTACGCCCATACTCACCAGCAGAACCCCGACTTCATGAAGCTGGCCGACGCCATGGGTGTCCAGCACCGCAGAGTCAGCAAGCCTGACGAGGTTGTCGACGCTCTCAAGTGGCTCATCAACTCCGACGGCCCCGCCTTCCTTGAGGTCGTCACCGACAAGAAGGTGCCTGTCTTGCCCATGGTACCCTCTGGATCAGCTCTCCACGAGTTTCTGACATGGGACGGAGGTTAGTATTCCCCATCTTTTCAATTTTGTGACCCAATTGCTAACCCCCGCGCAGAGAAGGATAAGAAGCGTCGTGAGCTGATGCGCGAGAGAACGCGTGGTCTCCACGGCTAAACAGCCAGCCCTCACAGCTGTTTCTTGTTATCTCATCTTTCCACATTGGAGGCGTCCATGCATATTGCTCTCTCATCTTATACCACCAGGCTTTATTGGGTTCTCTTTGGCCATAACGAGATCTCCATCTTGAGCAGAAAAATCTTTCCATTGGGAATCAAGGTTTTTCTTATTACGGGCGACGACGAATCAAAACCTATATCGCAGGTTTACGTCCGGAAGCAAAACAAGTTCAAAATCAAAACAAAAATCTAAAAAGTGCTTTATCGCAGCATTTTCCGTAGTTGGGGGCTTCATTTCGGGCATTCGCACAAAAATCGACCGTCACGGAGTTGGGTTAGTTTACCTCGACCTTGTCAAGAGAATGTACATATATCAAACTTCACGAGTTGTTGAATATTGAAAAGTTTTTTTTTGCACCTCATCTTGAACTTCCATCTTCTAGCTCCAAGTATGATGTGTCCCCTCAATCCTGCATGTCATAATCTTGGGTTCTTGTGATACTTTGTGCAGAGTTTGAGCTCGCCTTGATCATAGGATTTGGCCAAGAGGTCAAAATGCCTCATCTCTCAAAATCAGGTTTATTGAAACTTCCCTCCTTGTCTGTGGAAACGACGTGATAATGAAGAAATGCATGTTCAGGGGGGGCTTTTGCAAAACCTTGTTCTTTTATGTCGACTTAGTTGCAAAGGATAAGTTTTCACTTTTAAAGTCCTCCCGCAGTCATTGGCGTGGTTTTGTATTCCGAGTAGAAGATTGCTGAGACTTGTCTTATTTATCGCTCTTCTGCGTCCTCCTGGTCCCCACTCTGAGCACTGACGGGTCTCAAACGGGCGGGCTATAAGCCCGTTGAGAGTTCTACTCGCTTGTCGTCGTTGAGCTCTATCTTCGCTACTGAGACTTGCAACACGTTTTCCGGTTATTTGTTGAGGAGCGTAAGGTAGTGATGGAGGCCCTGCTATCATGATATACGTCAACAGGCAGCTATGCCCTGGCCTGGTTAGATACGTAGGTTGGCACCAGTCTTGAAGACCATGAAGTATTGAGATCTTCGACAATCTCGAACACCAGTTTGATTGTTATCACATTTCTCGATTCCTCGCGATCTCTTATGTCTTTAAATACTGTTGAGATACATAGGTGTGGATTTGCATCGCCCACCCTTCCCTAAAGTAAAATTCTGGCGGTAGGTAGTCGGTAAAGTTGCAGTCAGAACGCCTGCTCAGCATCTCGTTCAGAGAACACAGGTAAACGAGCACTATTCATATGAACGGACCTTTGAATCTGGAGCCCAGGCGCTAGGAAGGACATCATGACCACCTCAGATGAGAATCCTTGCGTTCCCTCACATCTCACATAGGAATTGATATTTTCTTTCAGATGAACAAATGCGCTCCTCACAGGCCTGTAACATGTTAACAAACGTAGAAAACAGACTGCGCTATTTACTCTTAGTCCCAATGATAGCACCCACTTTTGCGCACTACCTGTTTTATTTCTTTCCTTTCCCCTTTCTCCAGGCGAATGATGCAAAGAAGCGAAGTATGCTAAGTTGAACAATATGAAAGATGATGTGGCTGAATGCCTGCTTCATCTGACCAAGACACCTGACCTGTCTTGAGGTTAAGGTAGCCGTCCCAAGAGCATACCACCAGACCAAGCTTTCTCTTTAGCACTGACACAGCTTTCTCGAAGCTTGATCTGCCTACTTCAATTCCCAGAGATCTGCTCCCATAGAATGAGCGTAATTAGCAAACCACTTTTGATGTGTTTGTCTTTGACATGCTGCAGAGCTTGCCTAATATTTCAATCTGCCACATAAGGTCACGGCCGAAATGCGGTGAAGCAAATGGAAAACGGCAGACTCTAACATGACTGATCACTCACACCAACAGCCAGCGTGTGTAAACTAAACCTTGATTCATCCAGCCTGCAAGAAGCCGTTTCTTCTCCTTTTGTTTAGAGAAATGATTCACTCGCCGCACATGGATCATACCTTCCGGGCCGGATTTCCTGCTCCTTAGGGCATCATCTTCTCCTTCCTCTTCTACAGAAAGATATCCTCCTTCCCTCCTTCTCCCCTTCCCTATTCCCTCAACGTCGACCTCTCTTTATCCACACTTACTTGAGCAGTAAGCAACGCCTTCCAACATCGTAAGAACCACGGGCTTCTCTGCTTCCTTCTACATTTATCTGGTTACAATCTCATGACTGACTAGTGACACCTTCCAGACCAAGAAAGTACCTCCGAGTAGGAAACCGCAAATAAGTCCAAGATGGACAGACCACGGTCCACGGTATCTTCATCCACCGGACCACCACATCGCTATGACGAAAGCCTCCAGCTCCGATAAACAGGCTTACGCCGCTGCTGCCATGGTCGCAGCCGCCAACACCCAACGACAGGCCGACGCCAACAACGCTGCTGGCACAACCCCAGCCGAAGTCCTCGAAGCCCATATCCTAGCCGACACCCTCCCCACCAACCCGGACACCCTCGAAGCCTTCCGCTTTGACTGCGTCATTACCGTGGCGGACAGGCTCTCCCTCCTCAACCTCTACCGCTACCTCGTCCTCAACCTCGGCGCCCCTACCGCCGCCATCCAGGGCTGGATCGCCGAGGGCAAGGAGACCGTCACCGCCCGCATCGAGAAGCTCTCCCTATCCGCAAGAAGCGCACCGCCGGCGGAGCCAAGGCGGTGAAGTGGTACCTCGAGCACCGCAATATCTTTGATGAGATCCCTAGCAACCCCACCGCAGAGACTAGAAAGGAAAACGCCGTCCTCCAGGCGATGCTCAACGGCGCCACGCCCGGAGAAAGGATCGCCGGCGGCGTCAGTGCCACCCGCGAGGCAGGGGCGCAGATACGTCTCATGGAGGCGGATGTTGCGGCGCGCTTCAAGAAGGGGGACCACATTGCGTACCTCATCACCAGACCGCACATGGCCAACGAGGCCGTCATCTTCAATCCTAGCGACAGGGCCACTATTGATGAGAAGCCGCCGCTGGAGATCAAGATTATTGAGTTGACTGCAGATGGAATGCGTACTGGCGTGGTTCATGTGGCGGCTACGATTGGTGAGGCCAAGGACTATGCTGCGAATGCGTGCTATGAGGCGGAGAGAATGAAGTGGGTGGGAAAGCAAGGTGCCACGGGTACGGGTCAGGGTGGTGATGGCGAGGAGGGCAAGGGCAAGGCTAAGGCTGAGGCTGAGGCTAAAGCTGAGAAGGAGGAGCTTGCTCAGGTTGAGAGTCTCGTCTCTTCGCTCAATGTTGATGAGGTTGATTGATACTTTGTCTGGTGAGTGAATTATTGGTTGCCAAGCACTCCGTGGAACCGAAGCTGATGTGTGAGATAGACAGAGCACTGCTGGACATGACTTTCAACCGGACCTTCGACACCCAGAGTACTTGTGAAGTACGGGGACGGAACATGGTTGATTTCATACTTGTTTTCGATGAGGAACATCTGCTTCCGGATGGTTGAAAAGAGGATGGAATGAAAAGCAGTAGAGCTACCTTACTTCCTTTCGTGAGATTGTTGACCTATCTCGTCAAGCTAGCCAGATAGAGCAGCTCCCGGAAACAAGAAGTACCCAATCCAGTCAGTTGCACAGCTCTCTATTTCTCCAAGAGTAGTAAATTCTCTATGCTCGCACGTATCCATTCAACCGAACATGAACATTTGATGTGCTTTGTAGCATTGGGTAGGGAAGGATGTGCTCGGTCACGAGAGCCGAAAGCTGGTACATAATACGACATTGAGTGAGGGAGAGAGAGGGTAGATGCCTCAGCATTATTTACAAATATTCCTTCAGTACAGCAACGAGACGAGATGACTGCGACTGCACGGTTAAAGGGCGTTGCCTAGGATAGAACAGCTTTCCGTCTCTTGGAGGGAACTTGGATGTGGAATCAGTTTTGCTGATGGTGCTGGTGTCACCTTGCGTACGGGAGGCACTGATCGGCTACGGTCGTTACTTTTCTGTCCATCACTTGAGCAAAAGGTGAAGTGTTTTGGAAGGCATCACCCCGTCCGTAGGTAGTATGGCCCCTGACATTTCTCACATCCATCGCGGAGCATGCTTTGCTGCGCTACATACCGGCAACGGCGCTCGACACCGTACCTGGTAGACAGACACGGCACTGCCAAAATCATGGTCCGGGACAATGGTCTCTAACAAAAGGACAAGTTGTCTGTTTGAGAACACGGGGCCTTAATAAAGGCGGTGGCAACGGATGTATCCTCACTCAATATTGGAGACGAAGCTATCCACCACGTTTCGCCGACTGACCGGCAGCAATGTGGTCTTCCGAGGTTAAGGACTTAGTAGAGGGGAAAAAGGCGATGTTACCGTGGAGCTGTATCAAGGGTGAAGCATCAAAAGTATGGCTGCACAGATGAGAGGAAACTTTCTCGCCGTATCTACAGTTCGAAAGAGCGAGCGGGATCAAGTCCGACGCCGTCAGTGTAAGCAATGACACACGACTGTTTGGTCCACTGTGCTGTTCCAAGACCATCAAAGTCTCGGGCGTCGTCGAGCGTAGATGGGAGTGCGTCGAATTGAAGAGCATCCGAAGATGTCCCTTGGCAGAGTCATGCGGCGGGCAATCCCGAGATCTCAACATTCGACGGGCTGGGGGGGATCGACATGTATCATCTTCCACGCCTCCAGCCGGCCCTCTGCCGACACTGACACCGACTTTGATGGACGTTGCCAACGCCAAGAAGTCTCGCCCAGTGTAGCCGAAAAAAGTATGTGCTAGATAGAAACAACTGGCAGTACGGCGGATGCACCGTCAAAAGGATGCCCCAAGCGTTCTTGAACTACAAAATCGGCGCCGAACGCAACGCGACTCGGAGCTGCCGCCGGAGTTTGGCCGAAGGACGATTGTCTTGGGGGACAAAAAAAAAAGGAAGAAGAAGACGACGAGTAAAATGGTGTTTGGTTCGTGAGTGTTTCATTATCGCATTGCGTTGGGGGCTGTGCAAAGATGAGATTCGAACATGAAAAGGTGTGGATTCGATGCTCGAAACAGTCGGAAGTTGAGAAAAAAAGACCGCAACTTGCATATACTGAGTGGCAAGAATGAAGCCTGCCAGAAACTGTGTGAATGGTTTCGCTGGTTCCTGCAACATCGTCATCCCAAAGCCAAGAAATTCAACAAAAAGTGGCATCGCATGTCGAGGGAACTGAGTGCTATCCTCGGGAGAAAGGCTTCACATCAGCCAATGTTGGAGGTTTCAACAGATGACACCAACAGGTGCAAACTATATGAAGATGTTGACGGGTGAGACCAATGCGGCTGAAGAACAGGCGCGTTCAGCCGCTCTCAAGTTGGTGACACGAAATGCGATGCAACTGGGCGAGGTGTGCCTTGGGGACTGCCCGCTGCGCGCATTGGGGGCGGGTAGACGATGGGGGTGGACGGTGG